ATTTATTAATTAACTTATATTTTTTCCTTTTCAAAATATATTAATTGAATGTGACAAATAGCCATTATTTTTCTATGTCATAAAAATTATCTGTGCCTTACCAACTGTCAGACGTTAACAAAATAATGTTAACCAATCGCCTTTAGGTCCTTTTATAATATCCACCAATGAAAAATATCTTAATTGGGATATCAATGCAGCATTACAAATCCATAGAGTAAAATATTCCTACAGTCCTGAGTCCACACTTTAACATAAACACAAAACAAACCTGACGAGTGCAACGCTGAATACTGATGCAACTGTAGTTGCGCTGTACTTGGTGGTTGCTTTGTTGTTTTGGTGCTGTAAGATTATGTATTGTGTGGTCTCTAAATAGTGAAGAGTGATATGTTCAAAACAAGTTACATATATCTTGATTATTTTTAAAAAAGAAGAAAGTTTAGCTTAAGTTAAACTTTTGATCTGTGAATGTCATCGAAGTGGTGCATAAAGGAGTAAGTACTTGTAATTTGTATCAAATCCTAATAATTTTATTAATCATAACCATTGGTTATTTTATTATTAAGTAATAATATTAATAAAATATAAAAGCATTTATCGTTTAAACCTGCGTACGTCAATTTATAAACTTGTCCCTTTTAAGTGCAAATATTTCCAAAATATTAACAGAACGAAATGTTAGGTGCCACAAAAATATGTTCATTTAACAGCTCTTATCCCGTAAAAGTATATGATATTTTCCTATAAATAAAGTAGAGCGTATTTATTTAATCTCAAATAAAATAACTTCGTACATAAAATTAAGATCGCAAATCAGTTTTAAAAGTACTCTTTTTATATGCATATTTTACCTATACAAAATTCAAACTTCATTAATTGATCATACAAGAAATTATAGTTAATTTACTTATACTTATACTTCATATATTTTGCTGTCTCAATTATTGTAATACTAACTAGTCACATAGTTTTGGAGGCTTTAAACTGCCATTCATTCTATTTATATTTTTTAGTTCCTTTCCTTTTTATAGCTTAATTTTCAGTAAAGTATCATCTATACTTTAATAAAAATTAGATGGTTATACAGCTGCGTGCAAAAGTATTAGGCACCCCTATTGTTAGTCACTATCTCATTAGATAGCGGTCAAGTGTGTGTTTTATGGTTTAGCTATTGTACTAGCGGCAATTTTTAACCAAATTAAGACAAAAGAAAATATTTATGACATCCAGGTGTGCTCCTAAGCGGTGTTTGTTCGAATTTGCTTTTTTTGCGTTTCGGGTTATAGTGTGTTATCAGTGCTTGCAGTGAACATACACGTCTTCTACGCAACTATTCCTATCACAATTCTAAAGACTAACATTTAACGTGTTAATCATGCCGAAAAAATCTGAACTTAGTGCTGAACAGCGTCTAAGAATTAAGATTTTACATGAACAAGGCATGTCTCAGGTTAAAATAGCCCGAGAAGTGAAGTGCTCGTGATGTGCAGTTCAATATGCTATAAATCGGTTAAAAGAGACTGGCACCCATGAAAATAGACCAAGAACAGGCAGAAGAAAAGTCACTACTGAACGAGAAGATCGATTGTTGATTAGGCAGTCTCTACAAAACAGGAAAAAAACTGCTTCAGAGCTCGCTGCAGCATTATCTGAGGCAAAAGGCAGCTAAGTGAGTGTTTATACTGTGAGAAGAAGACTTCTTAAAGCTGGATTAAAAGGATGTAAAGCAAGGAAGAAGCCGTGGCTGTCAGAACACAATAAGAAAAATCGGTTGGAGTGGGCACTCAAACATAAAGATTGGTCAGTGGAAGATTGGTCCAACATACTGTGGTCAGACGAATCTAACTTTGAGGTATTGTTATTTATTTTATGTACAATATTAAAACACATAAATGTTTTTAAAATAACGTACTGCAAGAAAGTTATTATACTTTGAAAATAAATGTTTTTTTTTCGTTTGGCATAGGTGTTTGGAACACCCGGTGTGACTTATGTTAGGCGAAGGGTTGGCGAAGAATACAACCCAGAATGTGTGGTTCCCACTGTTAAGCATGGTGGAGGCTCAATAATGATCTGGGGTTGCATGGCTGCCGACGGAGTGGGCGAAATGGTGTCATGTGAGGGACGAATGAATAGTGTTAAATACACTGAAGTTCTGGAAACAGCACTAGCAACGTCGATAACGCAAATTTTCGGTGATACAAACACCGATGGCCTGAAATTTCAGCAAGACAACGCCACTTGCCACAAGTCCGCGCATACCATGAAGTGGTTTGCTGAAAATCATATTGATCTTTTGGACTGGCCACCACAATCACCAGACCTCAACCCGATTGAGCATATTTGGTCCATTTTAAAGAAAAATATCCGCAGGCACTCGATTAGCAATAAACAAGCTCTATTGGCCGCGTTACAGCAGGAATGGAAAAATATATCAAGAGAAGAATGTTTCAGGCTGGTAGAGTCAATGCCAAAAAGAGTGGCTGCGGTTATTAAGTCAAAAGGTAGACCTACAAAATATAAATTATTTTCTTAAAATAAACCATTGTAATCACAAATGCAGTTTCATTTACACTCGCTATGCTAAAACACCCTAAAACTTGTCTTACTGTAGGGTGCCTAATACTTTTGCCCGTGGCTGTAGTTTTATACTAACAGGAGACTCTCTGCTTGCATTTCACCCTTTTTATTTAATTTAAATATATACATATATTTATTATTAATGTATTAAATACAAAATATAGAGCTAATATTACATATAGTATCTTGAAAAATTAAAACTCCCATAAAACTTTCCACTGTTATTTCAACATACAGTGTATCAATTAGAAATACCTTATTTTAAAAGAGAATATAAGAATAGACCTTCATTATTAATATTTTCATTGATCATAGGTATATTTATATATAATACTAATAATTTAGTTGTATTCCTCATTTATTTATATTTATTTATATTATTTTTATTTATTTATTTATGCTCAAAAACATAATCTTTGATTAAATGTTAAGTTTGAGTTCTATACAAATTTGTAAATACATAGATTTGATTATTTCAGATCAATTAAAAATCATATTTGGAAGCAGGATTGACTTTTCCCCTTTAAGTTATATTAGATTGGCAACCATCTATTAATTATTATTGGTCTTAAAGAATTGTTATAAATGACAATAAAGTCAATATCACAAAATATGTAAAAATTATACAACCATATTAGCTGTCTTTATTAACAAAAAGTAATAAAAAGTTAAAACTTTTTCTATATATGTGTTCGTTACTTGAATTTGTTTGACATTTTTATATTTTCAATATAAAACTAGTATCAATATTTTTTATGAGAACTTATTCCTATTATTGATACTTCTGTCCTTTTTCTTCAATGTATACAATGAAAATCCCGATCTACATACTAGATGTTATCAGTACATTATCAACATACCACAAGTTCCCACAGCGTGACACCAATATGTGATCTATGTTCATTAAACATTAAGTTTAAATTATGATAACAGAACCTTGACCTCCTAAAAGTAAATTAAGACAATGCTTAGAAAATATTTAGCACTAAACAAAATAAATGTTGCAAAGGTAATATTTTAGAATTATTTAAATAAAATTATATTTATATTATTTTATATGATATATCAAAGAAATTTACATAGAAAGTGACTTGATATCTTTTAGTTTATCCAAGTTACTGCCATTTCTATGTACTATATATGTATGCAACAGTAAAATAATGTGGTTTTGATCAAAACATAGTTAGTCATAATGATAACTGGTTCTTTGTAAACTACTTATCAGTTATCACGGTAGGAACCCCTCACATAAACCTATTTTATCAATATGTAATATAACATTTCTCTTAATGACTATAAAAATAATCATACCTCTTAAAACAGACACATTGAATACTGTATTAAATGTCTTTATACAATAATTTAATTAAAATTATTTGTAATAAATATTTCGAAATAAAAACTAATTATAATTTTTTTATAAATTCATATGAAACTTGATTCATCAATGACCTTGTAAGTAGTGTGGTCATTGACTTAATATGTATAATATTTGGATGTTCTCCATACGTCTTATTGTCCGCTAGGTGGCACTAATTTACAAGGTCGTATTGAGATTTGGAAATATCATCCTATTATGACGTAGTGTGCTTATTTGAATTTTAGTGTGTTAACATATTTGAACGAAGTCGGTAGTTAAATTGTGCTAAAAATTCTTCATACTTCGGAATTTGAAGTTTTATATCGCTAATTTTTTTTGTTTCCTCTTAAGTTACGTATTATTAAGGTGTGTGGGATTTTAATAATTTCAATAAACATTTTAAATCGCGCTTGTGATTTTTTATTGCGTTACTTAAAATTTAATTATACACAAGGACAATTTTTAAATTCATCATTTTCCTCATAATATAATGGTAATTAAAAATTAAATTATTTTTTAATGAATCATTTTTAGTTCGAAATTATCTGAACTTCAACTTATTTTGAAGGTGATCTTTGATACAGGCAATTAACAAGTTACAACTACCACGGACAAGTACCTAAATTATTTCACGTCTATTTATGGCATTATATTGTCTCATGTTCATATTTACTGTATATCATTCTAGTACAAAATTCTAATACTGAGAAAACACTTTTAAAAAATGTATTAAGATTTTTCGTATCCGTATGATTATGAAAAATTAAGTTGTAAATGATGTTGGAATCCTTATCGATAGCAAACATTTAAGCTTTCAGGAACCAAAAAAATAATAATTAGCAAAACTATGCTTATTTATATATTAATTAAAATTCAATATATATTTTTTTAGATAAACTATTAAAAATTATCATCCGATCTCATTACAATGCCATTAAGAATAATTATATAATTGAATCCTTTCATGTCATTACAAGCAGTAAATATTATTTATATTATCAGAACGATAAACATTAAAAACTAATTTTAATTTACAGATGAATAACAAACTGATAAAATGGATATCAAGAAGCGGATGCTATTGCAACATCACATGCAGGATATCGTCAAAGATCTAGACGTTAATCACATACTTGATGAACTGTTCACGAAAAATGTCATATCCAACGAGGATTTCCATCACATATACAACTTGGTAATGTATAATGAAGATAACGCTTATCATTCAAGTGCTATTTCCTTTACGGGAATCATATATCTATATATATAAAAGAAAGTCGTGTTAGTGACTCCACTTATAACCCAAGAACGGCTGAACCGATTTAGCTGAAAATTGGCAGGGAAGTAGTTTAGAACCAGGAAATTGCAATAGGATACTTTTTATCCCGTTCGACAGCATTCCCGTGGGACTTGACATGAAACGTCAGTCACTATAAAACGTGGAATAACGAAACACAATTGACAGCTATGCAATTGACGTATAATGACAGATACATAATGATGACGTATAATGACAGATATGTAATGTAATGATGAGAATTTTATATTTGTAAGAAATCTACTATATAAAAATAAGTCCGGTTTTCCATCCTGACGCTATAACTTCAGAACGAAAGAACCAAGAAAAGGGGGAAAAATCTTTTGTCACATACAGCGCCATCATACATAACATGTACTACAAATCAATATTAAGTATTTTTAAGTAGATGGTGCCGTCGCATGATACATTGTTTGACAGCTACTCATTGTTCTCTTCTCAGTTAATTTCATGTGACAAACCGGTATTGTGTCTGTAGTTTGAACTCTTAAAACCATTTAGTATTAGCGGGATAAATTTAGAAAATCATTGTTTTTCACATGGGCAGTTATATTTTGCGGGTTCATAAGTTTGGAAACCATACACTTTATTTGTGTTAAAGTTAGACCAAAAAACAAAAAATGTGGTTTACAAAGGAGCACTTCAATGAAACGGATAATTTGCGGACACGTATAACGCTTCGATTCGGTATCTACTTTGGATTCACTTTCATTTACTTAGAGAAGTTCAACTAAATAACACTTCATTTTTGTAATCAAAATGAATTCATTACTGTTGTGAAATGAAATAAAAAATTTCCTTTTCAATATGAAACAAAAAAAATTCTTCATTTTTTAATCCAAGGGTTCGGTTACATCGTGTTTCCAAGAGAACCTTTCAAAAGTCTAGGATGAAAAATTTCCTACGTTCTTTCTCAAGGTCAACTCTATATCTGTATCAAATTTCATTAAAATCAGTTCAGTGGTTTAGGCGTGAAAGCGTAACAGACAGACAGAGTTACTTTTGCTTATAAAATTAGTAGGGATGATCCCGACGTTTCGGTTACTAGTCGGCAAATTAATTCATTGATTTTCAAAGAGATCGCAGTATTATAAGATTTTCATTCAATCGATCAACTGATCGACCAACTGGTCGGGCAACTGGTTGAGCAACTGATCGTCCAACTGACCGACCCACTGATCGTCCAACTGGTCGACCAACTGATCGACCAACTGATCGACCAACTGATCGACCAACTGATCGACCAACTGATCGTCCAACTGGTCGACCAACTGATCGACCAACTGATCGTCCAACTGGTCGACCAACTGATCGACCAACTGATCGACCAACTGATCGACCAACTGATCGACCAACTGATCGACCAACTGATCGACCAACTGATCGACCAACTGATCGACCAACTGATCGACCAACTGATCGACCAACTGATCGACCAACTGATCGACCAACTGATCGTCCAACTGATCGTCCAACTCGCTTCTATCTAAAAACAAACAGGGCCTAACCCTCGCAGCGTCTACTCAGCATTACACAATCCAGTATCCAGTATCCAATATTTGAATCCAGTTCCGGTTATGAATCTTTAATATATGTAGGTACAAAAAAATAACACGATTCTCATATAAATTTCTTTAAAACGAACGAGAAAAACTTGTACAAGAATTTACTAATATAGAAACTCTGGATAATAAATGTATTTACTGGCTGACCTTTGTGGATGCAACATCTATGCGTGACATTTGATTATTAAGAAAAAATGTTGGTTAAATGAAGCCATAATATACAGGGTGACTGGTGAATTACTATCGATACTTGAGGACGTGATATTTGACGATCATATATGACAGAATAAAAATTAATATAACATAAATATTAATAAATTTCTAAGTAAAGTTAACCAAAAATTATGTAATTAATTACGCATCGTGTGAACACCCTACAGATTAGGTATACACACACACACACACGTGCGGCGGCGTGTGTTGTATCAGCACGCCGCTTTACGCGTCCACACTTGGAACGTATCCACACTTTATTTATTTATACGGAAATTTGGTCAAAAATTAAGTACCTATTTTTTTTACATAATTCGAATGAGAATCATGTACCGAGTATACTCCTTAAATATTGATAGTAATTCACCAGTCACCCTGTATATATATATATATATGGTATTTCAGAGTTTTTCATTTCAGAATCGTCTCACTAATACATGAAACGTAAGAATTAGTTATTTATGATACGAGTATTTAACTAAAATATATTTTTACTATACATATATAATTACTACATTTAATTTATGTGTCGCTTTTCACGGGTCATACCTATATGTCGGTAATACCAAAAAATATATGCTCATATAAAGAAAAATATACATCTTTCAATCAACAATCATATTTCTATAATCTAGATTATCTTCTATCTTCTTCTTCTATATATGTATATAAAAATGGATTGCTGTTCCTTAGTCTCGCTAAAACTCGAGAACGGCTGAACGGATTTATCATATCTTACTCTTGAAATGTTCGTGGAGGTTCAGGAAAGGTATAAAAGCTGAAAAAAAAAATTAATTTCCGGAAAACCCTAAAAACAGCGCTTTTCTATTTCCCATACAAACGGGTTTTTTGACATTAGATTTGACAACTAACTAATATGTCAATCATTCTGTCGCACTTTAGAACACGGAGATTTATGGCTTAAGCTTCAAAGGTAAACTCCAAAAATATAATTAAGAAATAATTTATTTCTTGATTGAGGCAGTACGAAGTCTGCCGGGTCAGCTAGTATTTATATAATTAACAGATACTTTTTTGTGTTGTGATCGTTAATTTTTTTTTTACAGCCGGATAGGGTAGAACGTGCTAGATTTCTCATAGGCATTATACTGACCAGCAATAATAATGCATATGAAGCTTTCGTGGATAGCTTGCAAAAGGATTACAAATGGTTATATGAAAAGTTGTCAGTAGAAAATAATCAAGCCATGATAGAAGATAGCTTCGAAGACTGTCTCAGTAGAGGGGATGTACCGCGGCTGCCAGATCATTTTATCAGTAGAGCATATTTGGTAAAAATAATTATGATACATTTTTATCGTATAAGCAAACAATTACTAATATCATTTTCAGGGTATTTACTTCTAATTTTTTTTTAAATATTTTCTTTCCGGCCAATATTAATTATTGTTTTTTTTTATAGGAAAGGGAATTACATTCTAAATTAAAAATTCTTACGCGTCATAAGATCCTTGTTCTGTATGGGATGCCAGGTTGTGGTAAAACGGTGTTGGCTATCAGCGTTCTGAGGAAGGAATCAACGCTTATTATGAACGACTTCAACGGCGTTGTATTCTGGCTCAACCTTAGCAACTGTAAGACTGAAGACGATATCATTGCTCAACAGAACAGGTCAGAATACTCTTGTATGTAAAAATATTTGCTTCTTTGGAACAGCTGGACGTATAATAATTTTTGTATGAATGTTTTATAGGTCTGAGATAAGTCGACATACATTTTCCAAATTCTTAAGTATTTTCCATAACATATTCTAAATAACATTAATTATTTTATTTAGAATCAATAATTAGTTGATACGTAAAATCTTAAAGTTTGACCGTTGTATCATTAAGTAATTTTATTGAATTTACAATGTTAACTCTAGTCGATTACTAACGAATAATGTCCAGATTTGATATTACCACCAGGCGTCCTAGCGGGGTTCTAATTTATTATTTAATTCCGAAAATGCGTGCACAACCTCGTTATTTATATGTATATCTATGACGAAATAAGTTATGATTTTCATACAAATGTTAACCAAATTTAAACAATTATAAATAGCATTCAAACGACTTTGAACAACGAAACACGTTCCGAAGTTTTAATCGTCGTAGGAAGTACTCGAAAAAAATCTTTATATAGAAATTATCGCCCACAGTTTTATTACCTAACATTTTGCTATATTATATATTTTTAAAAGCTTTTATACTAAAAATAATCGTCATTTTACCACAATTTGTGTTTATTCGTATAAGTCATAAATATTTTTTTTAATTCCAGGTTATACCGCAAGGCGTCGCTAATGTTCAACCAGAATTCGTTCATGAATTCATCAATGTCTTTATCCAGTGCGTGTTCAAGAGGAGATTCCTTATCTAATTATGATCATACCAGTGAAGAATTGAAACATAATTTAAAACTACAATTTTCCGGAGAGCCCTTGAAGGAAGCCTTGCTCGTGTTGGACGAAGTCAATGAAAAGAATATTCTAGAGGCTTTCGATATCGGCTGTAAAATACTCGTAACTACTAGAGACAGAGAAGTCTTCGTCAACTTTGATTCCCAGATTGTAGAAGTATGTATTGTTTAGTCAAATATTTGAATTTAGAATAGTTTTGTAAATTTCAAAGTTGAAATGCCTGGTGTTAAATAAATAGTGGATAAATATTTTAAGCAAATTTTTTGTCTGATCTTATCTTTTAAATAGCCGTAATTATCTATAGTTTTGTGAAGAAATTTGTCTAAAAATACCACAATAGAAAAACAAATGTTAGATATAAAGATAGAAGCTGAATTTTGTTGCCCTTAGTAATTTATTTTTTTATAACCTTATTGCATTAAAGAACTCTGTTTTTGAATGAGAATACAGGATCTCTTAACCTTAAAGTGTCAACCATATCACCAAAATACACGTTTTAAATGTGTATTATTAAAATTTCAGGTAGAAAATCACTTTTCCGAGACAGAATCATTAGACTTGTTTGCTTCGTGTCTTGGTGTAGAGGCTACGAAGCTACCGAGACAGGCGAAGAAGTTACACGAAGTTTGTAAAGGAAGTCCCTTTCATATAGCATTGATTGTGGCTGAACTAGCCGAAAATAAAGAACGTCTTATAAACGATCCTCAGAGGTGGAATTATTATATCGATAAGTTGAGAAAAAAGGAACTTTTCTCGTGAGTACATTAGATTTTCTCTTGACTTTCAATAATGATATAGTATGAAATGAATCGAAATGGCATGTACAATAGTTTTCGTATCAAAAAATTACAAACATATCCACACAAGCATATATTGCATACAATTATATTCAAAATTTAACATTCACAGTGTTTATAGAAGGGTCTGAATAAAGAATAACTCATTAATTCTATTGAAGTGGGACAATTATTCCGTTTTGAAATTTTAAGATTTGTAAAATACATAAATATTTATATTACTTTTTGTAAAATATTTATAAAGTATTAGAGTGTAAATGATTTCTTAAAATATTCTTCCAGTCTCCCAAGACGAGAGAAACCAATGAAGACCGTCGAAGTGTGCATTAACTTGCTCAAACCGGACATGCTGGCGTTATTCAAGATGCTAACAATATTGCCATACAACACTAAGATATCAACTAAAGTACTCAGCAGACTGTGGAACAAAAATATAATAGACGTTGAAAGCATAACAAAACAACTGAGAAGTAAATCATTGATCATGGAGTTCTACGACAGAGACCAAAAGAATTATACATACGAAATACACGATTTGATCATGAGTTACCTTATATCGAGTTCCAATGAGGAGGAAGTTAAAAATATGCACCTGAATTTCCTTAGAAACTATGATTATGATAGCTCGAACGGCGCGCCTATAGAAATAGCCGATGATGGATACATAGCGTTCCATATCGGTTACCATTTAGCCAAAACGAGAAATGCTGACAATATGTGGGATTTGTTCAATAAACTGTATCTAGATTTGAGATTTTTGGGTAATAAAGTGAGACTAACCGGTTCAGCGGATGTTATATTGGATTTGGAAACATACGAAAAGTATATTACGAAAAATTGTGTGAGTAAAGTTTATATGACAACAATTTAAATGAAAATATCGCTTTTGATGTGATTACTACATAGTGTATATTTTTCAGGAGCTTGATACAAGACTATTATATAGTATCAAAGAATTTCTCATAAGACACGGGACTGATCTCTACAGGTATCCATGCACGGATATTGTACAAAGTATTCTACAGAATGAAAGCAAGGGAATCCTTTATACTAAAGCTAGTCAGATAGCGAAGGAGAGATGCGCGAAAAACGAACTGTATTTTGAGTTTTTGTAAGTTGTTTATTATTATTTATACAGAACTGTATGTAATATTTATTTATATATTCGTTTATGGGAATTAATATTACAATAAATTAAATCGTAGGGTTAAAAACTATTACCACGGGAATTTTGTAATAAGGGTATTATTAGAAATTCCTTAACTTAAAGAAAATGAATACAGCAATAACATTAACAACAAAGATTATCAAACTAATATTTTACTACAATAATCAATTATAAAGAAAGCACAAAATAAAGACAATATATACTTACTAATGATAATAGAAAAAGTACATTTAAATCTTATTTTAATTATATTATTTAAGGATTTTTTTATAAACTGAAAATAAAATTGAAGATATTGGGATTAAAAATTTCAATGTTATATTATATACTTAAAGAAATATATTTTTTTTAGACATGAACAAAACGTCGAAGAAATCAAACATTCCACAATAGATGTAAAGGAGAAAATAACTTGTGTGTGTTTCTTCTTCAAATATGTTCTGATTGGAACTGCCACCGGTACTATTAAGGTAGGTAATTTACTTATTCAAAATTATCTATTAATAAATATATGAAGAGAAAACTAGGTATATATTGTTATAAATGATGAGCATATCTATACTAATATTAGAAAAAGGAAAGGTTTGATTTTTTGTTTCTTAGTCTCGAATAGGCTCCGAAACTACTGTACCGATTTGAAAAATTCTTTCACCGTTGGAAAGCTATACTATACTGACATAGGCTATATTAAGTTAACAAAATGGGGTTCCTTACCAAAACTCTGATAATGTAAAAAATATACCAAAAACTTACTTTAATCGCGAACGCTCCGAAAACGATTGAAGATATAACAAAGTGATGTACTACAATTTTGTAGAGCTTATCATTATCTACAAAGAACGTCGCGACTTCATATCTCTAAGTATTATAGTTTTTTCACAATAAGCGATTCTTTTATTTAAAATTAAGGCAACTCCTGGAATACTACAATAATAACCAATATATTTTCCAGCTGTTCGAGCTGAACACCAACAAGCTAGTTCGTTCTCTCCAGCTTCAATCTTCAGTACGCGCGATGTCTCCGCGCTTGTCGTCCCCTGCAGCGCTTGCAGCGCTGGAACACAGCGGTGTGTTGCGGCTGTGGTACGACCTGCAGCCGGAAAGCGATCACGACAGTGACGTCATCGAAGAAGGTATACACTATAGAGGTTTTAATATATTACACACACTATTTCTTTATTATATTGAACTACTAGCTACGCCCCGCGGTGTTATCCGCGGATTTCCGGGATTTTCGAGATGTAAAGTAGCCTATGTGTTATTCCTGGACGTCAGCTTCCTGTATACAAATTTTTATCAAAATCGGTTCAGCCGTTTGAGCGTGAAGAAGTAACAAACATACACACACTCACAAACTTTCGCAATTATAATATTAGTAGGATTATAGATAAATTCAAAGCGATTTTTCTGATAGCTATGGTAATAATTTTTAATTTTGTTACAGAATGTGAAGAAAGCTTCAACAATAACTACCTTACCAATAAAACAATTCAACCCAAATTGGGACCGTTTCTGAACTGTCGCTGGGCAAATGACTTCTTAGTAACACACACTTCGGAAATAATCATAATATATTCAATAAATGCTGAAGTACTTCAAGTGTTGGACAACTTATCCCGTGATGTTGATATCCTGTGTTGTATTCCATGTAACTTTGATAAAAATGTCATATATGCAACACCTCGGAATCTAGAAATTGTCAATTTGAAAACAAAAGAGAAACAAGCCTTTGAAACAACTGACATTGTCTTAAATATCCTGACTGTACCCGGTAAGAAATATTGCAAATTAATTTTCAATAATATAAAAGGTTTTTTTTAAATATATGTTATTTACAGGCAGCAACAGAATTCTTACCTTAAATGAACATGAAGTCACCGAATACGAATTCAAAATGTCTTTCAAACACAAAGAGAACAGAAGAGGAAAAATTGTTGTTTCAAGCAACGCTGTTAAAGAGAATATATTATTTATATCGATGGCCGTCAACAACACCGGCACACTGTTGTTCGTGTCAACAAACGACAATAGGATTATTTGTGTGGATCTGAAAACGAATTCATATATATTTGATCTACAGAATAGGAGAGGGTTAGTTATTTTGATACCACTGCTATGACCATGACTGCTGAGGAGGTTTAATTAAATACAATTAAATAATTTCAAAGTATGTTATATACCTGATGAAATGAGCTACTGATAATAAATAGAGAAAATATTTGATTTGAGTTGGTGTGTTAAGTAAAACTATAAATACAATGAGATACATATATGTATTTGAGAGTACTGTACCATTTCGTCTTTGATTGATTCCAGGATTCAAGATATAGAATGGATTTTTAATTTTTCTTCTGAGCGCTTCAAGGTAGCTCTATTAATTGATGAATCAATTTCTCAAGTCGTCATTGGCATCATATCTTTTTTAAATTTTGTCTAAGAAGATTACAACGCTAACATAACTGTTGTTTGCTTACAACTCGTACGGCTTTATTTACCTTAATCTGTTTCATAAAAAAATAGATATTTGCTTTTTATAATATTATTATTATAATTATTTTGTATAATATTCCAGGAACGTGACCTGTATGTCTGTATGCGAGGTGTCTGAACCGGAATACTTAGAAGGATCGGATCTGTTGTTGACTGGCTCAGGACAGCACGAAGACACTGCGAAGGTTTGGTACATGGACGCCGGCTACGTGGCCGCTAACACTCACAGAAACAGGTATCTTCATATACATAGAAAAAACTCACTATACTACTTATATATATGTCTTTATACCACCTAGTTATAGTACCTATTAAACATATTTAGCTACTAACTTTTGATTTGATAAATATATTGCATAGCTAATTGATACTTTAAGCTAAAAACAAATAAAATTATTGTTATCAAATTAAGTCTGATATATATAACACTAAAGGTAAGCCAGAATAAAAAGTTATTAATCAAAAAAGATTTGTAGATATTAATAACATAAAAATAACAAGAAACAAATTTGTACCTAACATGTAAACTATGAAATTTAATGAAATTAATATATATTTTTCAGCAAAGCTCGTCTAACAACTAAATTCGACGCTAATTTTGTAGCTGTAACAACACCTACCGATACTTCCACTAATAGTTCTACAACGACGCCGAAAAGACATCACTCGTTTGCGAATCAACACGAGGTTGTGAAAAAAGTAGTTAAAACCACAATGAGCCTTGACAGACATACACTGAAACCTTTGAACTTGGACGGGATTTGTAACGGCACTAGCAGTAATGTGATGCAACCTCTGTTGGCGATTGTTGATGACAAGAATAACATACAGGTAATGATTTATTATATACTATATAAATAAACATATATTATAAGAATAGTAAATATGTACTAGAAAAACAAATACTACTTTATTTTTTGAGATATATTAATATAGTAAGATTAAAAATATATATCTGTTCCTAAGTGAAAAACGGTTTTACTGTTGAAAATAAAGTATTATTAAAACCTGGTTGAACTTTTAGTATAATCCAAACATAGAAACAAATTAAAACCTTAAAAATTACATGAAACTATCAAAACGAATACATTAATGTGGCTTCCATACATTATTAATTTCAGGTAATGCGCGGCAGGAAACTCATAGCAGAGATATCTTCGTATTCAGATCAACAGGTGACAGCGGTTCGTATATCACCTTGCAACCACTACGTTATATACGGACTCAGTTCCGGTATAGTGAAGAAATTTATTGTTCGCTCCAAAGAGATCAAGGACATCATGGATGTGAATAGTCCCGTGATGTATATGAACTTTGTTAATAACAACATGTTGATAGTGGCCGGGGAGAACAAATGTTTGATGGCCTACAGACTGACGGAGAGTGGGGAGTGGGAACCTCTTATGTTGATGAGGGGCAACACTGATCTAGGATCACAGGAACTATTGAATGATATACAAGGTACATACTACCAATATATTTATATGTAATATTTAAGTTATAAAAATATTTTTAGCCTTTACTAAAATAACCTTTTTATGAAAGAGCATATAGAACACTATTTTTTCTTATTACTTTGATAGGTTGTATTTTCAATTTTGTTTGGTATTTAAAAAAAGTGCTAATACAGGGTTAGTAATATGAAATTTATTAATGACATAAAATACATAGTTTTTATTTATGATTATTTACAGAGATATAAAGTTAATTCCCAAGAAGCATAAACTTTCCTGTCTCCTAAATAGTTCTTAGACTTTATGACTATAATAAATTATTTGTTTCATTTCCGTTAAGGTTTATGTATTTCAATTATATTTAATATATTTCATAATGAACCATTTAAATACAAAGTCACAAACATTTATATTGCTTAAAAGCAAGCAATATCATGTGTAGTATGATTTCAAATACTAATTCTTTGTTCTAGGAGTGAAAAAGAAACATCATCAGTTGTCAAGTATAGACAGTGAGAGCAGTATCAACTCAAGGGAGTTTTACTTTAATTCTGTCACATCAAAACTTTGCAAGGGAAGTAGCTTGATAGACTGTTACTGGATACAAGACATGGGGCTCATCACCATAGAGTCAAACGCTACCATCAAACTATGGGACGAAAACCTGGAGTTAGATAAAGTGTTACACGGAAAACAAACAGCCACCATACAGTATAAAGAAGTACGACTGTCTTGTTCTGCTTACAACAAGAATATTTTGGTCATATGTGACTACTCCAATGAGTGTTTTCAGGTTAGTTAACAGAGATTTTTAAGTTTTTTTTTTTATGTGAAAGGTGGCAAACGAGCAGATGGCCCACTTGACGGAAGGTGGTAACCATCGCCCATGGACATCCACAACATCGTTGCAGATGCTTTGCCAACCTTGTTTTTTTAGGGATAGGGAGGGGTGGAAATAAGGAAATGGTAGGAAAGGGTGGGAATAGGGAAAGGGCAACCGGCTCTCTCCCTCATCGGACGAAACGCAGCCATTAAAGGCTACTTCACGCCGATCTTCTGTGAGAGGGTGGTACTTCTCCGGTCGAGCCAGCCCATGTTCGAGCTGTAGTAACTCACCACAGCTAGGCTCTACCACCTACAGTTTCTCACCACAAAGACTTGTATTAAGCAGTTTTCTATTTATTATATATTAAGCAGTTTTCTATTTATTATATATTAAATGGAATATTTTTTCAGATATTCGAATTTAAACACGGACAGATGAATCTGATACAAGAATACGAACTCAAGAAAAAGATATATTCTTGTGCTCTCACAGACGATGGAAATATACTGGCGCTGGGACTTGAATCAGGAGATGTTGTGGTATGTAGAATTTATTCATTATTACAAGACTTTTGTCAATTGATTAGTAACTAATGTATGGTATATTTACAAATTTTATAAATAGTTATTGTAAAATACACCAGAAATTAAGATATCGAAAGATCAAAGATCATATATGTATCTTCTTTTTCCTGCCCTAGTCCCACTTTATGTAAGGTCCATGTTGTAGACAGTTTAGGCTAATTGTCTTACGACCGGCCTCTGCCTGAATCAAATGACTAAATTATATTTAATATAAACGGTAACGATTAATCAATATTCTTTAAGTTATTTTTACACACCACAAACGTATTTATAATATCAATATGACATCATAATAGTCTTTTCATATTTTAGTATACTACTTTATATCAGCTACAAAACTGTAATGATTAATCATAATTTGTTAAGTTTTTCTTTAATACACCCTAAAAGCATTATAGTATCAATGGGACATATAACATCTTAATTATCTTATCATGTCTTCAATCAGATATGGAGTGTGTCTAACAAACGTCTGCTGGAAGTGTTGAAGCATCACTCATCGCGTGTCCAGTGTTGTTTCTTCTCTCCGTCTCCTTCAAGACGTAGTCGACCGGGCGCGCTCTCCCCCTCCACCCCCTTCACCCCCGCAGACGATGAACCCCCACTAGTACTGGTCACTATGGCCGCTGATGTAGTGTGGTGGGACGTCAGCTACATCATACGGAGACGACTCAATAGGAACTTGAGGTACTCACTGACTCTCACATCTCATCTGCCCGTGATCATGATTGCTGAAAAGTAGCCGAAACGTCGGGAATATATAGTTTATAATCACAAATAAAAACGCGATGTAAAAATCCGAAAATATTAGTTTCATTTACTTAAGGTACTCGTTACTACTTAGAGTACGTAGGATGTTATAGTGCGTTTGATTTAAGCTGAGCTTTGCATTTGTGTGAATGCACACGGATAGTGTAGGTGTGATGTCAAATTTTTGAATGCCCCGTTCTTTTCTATGTTTTAACCTGTTTATTCCGCTTTTACTCCGCCCTGCACCTTCCGCACTTCACCCTTTTTACTGGTAGCAAAATCAAGTATTGAAAACGCAATTTCAAGTGAAGAAGAATTTGTATAGATTTTTCAAAATTTTTATTAATTAATTTTTTTTCCATAATATTCATAATATTTCTATCTAGCCTTTTCCAAGTTTTGCTTATTTTATAGCGCTTATGTTATGTATCTAATTAAAATATAATTAAATTCAATTCCAAAAGTTTTTTGTCTTAGTCTACTTTTACTTTCACTCACACAAATGCAAAGCCCAGCTTAAGTCTAACGGACATTAAACATATTGATCAGTATGATCTAATGATGTTAAATTTATTTCCATTTATATTAATTTCTGTTCAACCTTCTAGTCACAAATTCTAATGATAATCATTTTACACTTCGTTAATTAACATCTACTAGATATAAAATATACGTATATACTACATGTTTAAAATTAAAATTTTATATGTACTTTCATATAATATGTTGAAGAGTCGTTAATGGTTTCATATGGATATAGGGAAAAGTTTTCTTAGTGTTTCTGTAGAATTTCTTCACATCCATAATAAAAATTTTATATTGATCTGTAAATGACAAATCTTGATATATTATTTGAATATTAATTTGTATTAATATATATTTTCTTATTCTAGAACGGGAAGAACTATACTCACACCTCTACCAAGTCCAATGGAATTCAAAAATGAAATACAATCAGATGATAACGCGAACAAAAATAACTATTTCTTTAACGATAACTTTTTGAATCCAACGCAAATGTGGAAAGCTAATTGGAAACATAAAACGTAAGTTATTGTTATTTGTAATTTTTTTTAAGCCTCTCAGAACCCACTGCTGAGCAAAGGCCTCTTTCTCTCATGGAGAAGGTTTGAGCATTAATCACCACGTTTGCTCAAGACGGGTTGGTGATTTCAAACTTATACATAATTGTGAAATTATAAATCCAGGTTTCCTCACGGTGTTTTCCTTCACCGCCTGTCAGTGGTGTCTAAATAGTAAATACTCTTAGAAGGTTCATGTGACTCGGAAAAATCACATTGGTACTTGCCAGGATCAAACCCGCAAATTATTACTTGAATATATATTAAATTTGACGCATATAAAACTAAAATATGTTACCTTTTTCTATCAGATATAAGGAGGGCTCAAAAAGGAAGGAAATCCTTGCGTGTATAAAGCTGTCAGGGATGAACGCCAAGAAGATCTGCCACGATGAAAAGTTCTCCTGTTTCGTGACGGTCGACAACCCTGGACTTATATACATCATGACGCTTATGGGTTCCGATTAGTTATTTAAATTATAGTGATTATGGGTTGTATAAAATAATTCCATGTACATGAATTGGACAACCCTGGCATAAAATAAATTATGACGCCATGGGTTGGATTTAGTATTGCATTTATAATATGAATTCCATCTAACTTTAGAACAATTCCAGTTTTATATTAGCAAATTTAAATTATGCAATGATAACTTTTGTAGCTTTTATTGGATATAATGTCGTAATATGTAAGTGCATTTAAATAGATAATAAGATAAGTAGGTGAATGATCAAAGTATACAATTTTATTATTTTTTAATTATGGAAATTGAGATCTATTTGTTTTTTTAAAGTCGACGCTCTCTTTCCGAGTGATATGTACATAACTGTGTTTAATATTAACTTGTTATATTTAAGTTTTAATAAACAAGCGAGTCAAATATTAAGCTGCCATTATACACATACGTAATATTATATTTTACATATACATATTTGACAACGAAATTTAAATAATTTTATCTGTAACTAGTAACAATTTGCATGATTCAACTAAATGCCAAATAATTTGTATGTTTTATACTTATAAATTTTTATATCATGTACCAGAAGACTAAACTCGTTTTGAACCCACTGCCAGATTCCAAAAACGATATAAAGCGCACAATTTTACGTAAATGTATCCGTATTATTAAGTATTGTACTTTTTATCATAACGAATAAATCCACCAGTTCGGTTTAATAATTTAAATATAATTGTAATAAAATTTATATTATCATAGGACTATTAATACTGTAGTGTCTGATAGAAGAAAAATGTTACAGACCGCTCTGTGATTATTTCCCAGAGTTGTGCCATTTTATCAGAATTTGTAAATAATGAATGATTATTAATAATGATAATTTTTATGTATTTTATATATAAAGTTAATATGAAATGGTGCTATAATGTCGGATTTGATGTATCATAGATTTGGAAGTTGTATGTTGGCTGTTATGATCACCATTTGTTATTGAAATATTTAAGATCAATTAGTATTAAGAACAACGCTCAAAGAACGCATTTGCTTTTTTGTTCCTAACTGTGCTATATTTTAAATCAGCAGAAACGTTTTAAGATCAAACGATATTTTTTTTATATACCATTGAAACAATACTCTTTTTATGTGTTTTAAAATATTTTGTATGATTAATTATGAATAATTTATAATACGTAATTGTTACGGCAATATTGCTCCATAATAAAACTTAATTACGAAGGTGATATTATTACGTATCATTATTTATTATTCAAACTTAATGCAATATATATTAAAAAATCTATTTTTAGATATTTTAGATAGTACATTATTTTGAGAATAATTCTTTACATTCAATAAAACCGTTTTTGTAGTATTGTTTTTTATTATCAAAATTTATATGGCGCACATACATTTAATAATTTTTATTTACAACTCTACGTGATTATAACAACTTATATTTGAAAATATCATGTCATAAAGACAGCTTTTCACACTTTTTTCTACTCTTTAAATTTAGTTTGTCGTTTTTCACTCCTTAGTTCTTCATAACATGTAAATTAAGCAAACATTATTCCTGTAATTTTATTCTTGAATATCTATTGAATAAAGAATTATGAAATGATGTAAAACTCAAAAGTAAAAATTGCATAGCTTGCATTAAAACGTAACAATATTTTTTTCTTTTTAATATTTATTTATTTATTCCTTGGCTAAGTCATTTCCTTCTTTTTTAACTATATCTTCTTTCGCATTGGAATCCCGGAATATTTTGCCAATGTTAACGCTTTTATTTGTTGGACGAATTTAAATTTTAAGTACATACTGAGTGAAGAAAAAACGAAGGATTGTTACCTAATTTCAAAATTATCTGTCCGATATATTGTAACACTGAACATAGCTCTGTCAAAGTTTTAAAATTTTAACGTATTTCGAATAACTGTCAAATTTTGATCAACTCGAGAAGCGAGTAGGCTTATTTATCTTAATAATTATTGTAGGGAATAATATGCGTTAAAGATTATTAACTGTACCAAAAATTTTGTTTCTTTTAGAAACATTTATTGTTTTCTTTTGTGTAATTGACCTTCTCAATACTATAAAGTGACAAAAACATGGCTCAATTTAACTATCGCAACGAAATTGTCAGTTTAGCAACAATCGACGGACCCCTCACCCGTGGACCTCCACAACGTTTTGCCAAAAAAAATACAAAGGAAAATATAAACCCAGGATTAAGTATAAGTTCTATAAATCAATCTGTACAAAAACTTTCGGTTTCTGGTAATCAAAGTTATAACAATAGCGTACTTTCGATTAACAATAAAACACCGACCAGAAATGATAACAAGAGCAAGAGTAAAAGTAAATCTCCAGGTAATATATAATCTATTGCATATTACTTATGACATATTACAAGTTTTTATATTTAAAGGAATCCAAAATTTTCGTGGTGCTTTGTAGTATTTATTTATAATATTATTTATTTAAACTAAAACTTCTAGGTCGGTCGACCACACCCACTCCCAACAAAGCTGCTAAGACACCTAATAAAGCTGATAGATTTATTCCATCACGGAGTAATTCTAACTATGACTTGTGCCACTACATGGTAAGTGTGATTTGACAACATACAAAATAGTTTCACAGCTAAAGCCTTCTAGAAAACATAAATTTAATGGTTTACTATAATGGATTAAATAGATTTTTCTTAGATTTAGCTTTTTTCTAAAAGACCACATCTATTTTATACTTATGTAGTTTAATTTTATCAAAATAATAATGTTAGTATTATTAATAAACAGTTAAATCGTGAAGAAGACCAAGTAGAAGAAACAGCTCCATCGGTAGCCAGTGAAGCGATAGGACGTGCTCTCTCTGACAATGAACCGGGACGAATGTTACAATACACTTGCAAAGCCCCTGCAGCACCTGAAGGATATCAGAACAGATTACGTGTGGTGTATTCTCAAGTAAGTTGTTTAATTAACTAGGAGAAAACTTATGAAACTTATATGCATGATAATATACATATACATTTTTAATTTTCTTTCAGGCCAAAGTTCCGTCGACAGTTAAAAATACAACCCGATATATACCTCAGGGACCTGATAGAATTCTTGATGCTCCTGATATATTAGATGATTATTGTAAGTAGACTACATAATGATTGTCAGTTACATATGTTCTTAATTATATTTTTATAATGAATCTTCTACATTTTCAGACCTAAATCTTGTTGATTGGAGTGCATCAAATATATTGGCTGTAGCTCTTGGGAATTCTGTATACTTGTGGAATGCTGGCACGGGCCTTATAGAACAACTATTGACTTTAGAAGGTTCAGAAACAGTATGTTCAGTATCATGGGTTCAAGGGGGAGGATCACACTTAGCTGTTGGCACTTCATCTGCAACTGTAGAGATGTGGGATTGTGAGAAGATTAAAAGACTGAGGGTAATTTATATACAAATTTACTTAAAAGCCCTGTTAATATTTTCGTACTGGTTGACGTATTCACACATTTAATAATTTAAAAAAACAAAAATTTGAAAGTCTACACTACATGCTAGAATACGCAATCATATTTTTGTATTTGTAAGTACACAATTTATTTAAAGTTCTGAAAATAAATCTATTGAATTACCAGTTAGAAATAAAAAATGTGAGAAAACTAAGATTCTAAATTTTGAAACACATTATGGTTAGAATCTTTATCACAGTAACATTCTATTTAACATATAATTAAATATATTATACAATATGTAAATCAAAACAGATTCGTTACATCCATGTATATAAAGATGCTCATATGTCTATGCAATAGTAAGTTAAGATAAATATATTATTATTATTTGCAGACAATGGATGGACACACAGGTCGTGTGGGTTCTTTGGCTTGGAACTTGTATGTGGTGTCAAGTGGTGCTCGAGATGGTAACATTGTACACCACGACGTTAGACAAAGAGATCATGCTGTGGCCACCATTAGTGCTCACACGCAGGAGGTTTGCTCACAATTATAGTTATTTTTATGTTAAAGTTTTAAGTTAAATTTAACTGTCTTTGATTTACATATACCAGATCATAATTTCGATTTGGCTGTTTTTGACATAAACCTAAATTATAATATATTTTGTTTTTAAACGACTTCAAAAAAGTGAGAGGTTCTCAATTCGTCGTAATTTTTTTAATGTATGTTATCCGATTTCTCGAATACTACTGGACGGATTAAAAAAGAATTCTTAATTCTATTTTTATCTGAAAGTTTGCACTCCCCATGTTATAACATGGTCAGCAAGTCGGGTTTTCCTTATGGAAGCCCTTAATAATTGAGGGAAATCAAAAAAAAAATTGTTGCTGTTTTATACTGTTCACCATTTTCCAATATTCTCCTATCGCGAGCTTTCATATTATTGAAGGGAATCATTCTCGTATCTGTATTCATTAACAAGTACTTGAGCAAATTGGTGTCTGGCAAGGACAATCAATTTGTTTCAGAGCAGTTTATAAACAACCGCTTTCGCACTCAGTTTCCTCCAGTTTGCCTGGTCTTCGGCATCCTTCTTGTTGAGTCCATTGGCAAATTGTTATTTAATATAATTGATTAAATATTGTGGCAAATGAATACACCGTTGTGGTATCAGTATAAAATAAACGAGTTAATGTAATCAACATAATATGTGGATAGGCACACAAAAAATATATTTTTTGTAAATACTAGTCTACTTTGTTGTAAGGAGGCTCTAAAGAGAAAAGTACATTTAACGTTTGACGAACTAAAAAAATCTGTTTATAAATTTTTGTTCTAAGTAAGGAATATACCGAGCTTTCCTCTAGCAAACACCAATTAAGGCACTTATCATTCGTACATCGATATGTGGAAAATATGTTTAAAAAAAAGGTTTAATTGATTGATCGAAAGGTTAAATGAAAAAATATCTTGAGAAATAGAGACAAGAGACAGACAAAAGCTGTTTATAGTATCCGTTAAAAATAATGCAAAACATCCATAATAAATAAATAATACCTTACAATATGTAAACCATTATTTTCGAGCTTTTGACCAAAATTGTTTAAATATATGTAATTTGAGGGCATAAAATGTCCCTAGACATCAAATATTTGTATAGATTGAATATACAATAAAAAATCATATTTTTCAGATTTGTGGTCTTAAATGGTCACCAGACGGCAAATACCTGGCCTCAGGTGGTAATGACAACTTACTAAACATCTGGCCCATAGCTCAGGGACAGCATTATACACAACCACAGTACTTATACTCATTCAAGTAAGTCTCAATTACAGACTTAATATGACTATTTTGGTTAGGTAGACCGTAGAGAGGATCTTGTACAGTAGAGGTGAGCGTTAAGTAGACCTTAAAACTACACCTGGGTCGCAAGTCCCAGGCAGTGTTGAAGCTCCTTTCCCCGCAACGTGATGGAAACGGCAACCTTACGGTGAATCCATGGAATTCTGAGAAGTTTCGCCTCATTTGGTACAATTGTACCTTAATAATTTGAATAATCCTTACTAATATTATAAATGCGAAAGTAACTCTGTCTGTCTGTCTGTTACGCTTTCACGCCTAAAACACTGAACTGATTTTAATGAAATTTGGTACAGACATAGAGTTGACCTTGAGAAAGAACAGGATAGTTTTTATCCCAGACTTTTGAAAGGTTCTTTTGGAAACGCGAAATAACCGAACTCCACTCGGGCGAAGCTGCGGGCGAAAAGCTAGTTATTATATAAAAATAGGTTTTAAAAAATTTCTCCGATATGAGGCGGACCCGAACCCACAACCTCTTTAAAATCGCGTACAACTGTTTTACAACTTTAACGCTCGTGCAGATTCGTATCCTGCTCTTATACTAAAATTTCCATATTATATTGATATTTTCCATTCTTGCATAATATTTTTCTATCTCAACACTTACAGTCAACACTTAGCCGCAGTGAAGGGTCTCGCTTGGTGCCCTTGGAGTTCCGGTATCCTAGCGTCAGGCGGAGGAACTGCTGATAGAACTATACGGATCTGGAATGTCAATACAGGAGCTAACTTAAACACCGTCGATACCAAGTCTCAGGTAATATTGGCTATCATAAATTTTAATATTAGAATCCATTCATACCAGAACTTTTTTGTCAGAAAGTCAAGTACATGGAAATATTCATAATGTTGTAATAATGTTATCTCCTTTTCTTGATTTAATACAACGTGAATTGTTTCTGTCAGGTGTGTTCGATAGTATGGAGTACGCATTACAAGGAGCTTGTATCGGGTCACGGGTATGCTCACAACCAGTTGGTTATATGGAAGTATCCTACATTGACACGTGTGGCCGAGCTGAGCGGACACGTGGCGCGTGTGTTACATCTAGCACTATCACCGGACGGTACCACCGTGTTGTCCGCTGGCGCTGATGAGACGCTAAGGTGTGTATTTGGTCTGTTTATTGTGGTGTGGGTGTATTGGTGAGTGTTTTATATTTGTATATATTGTCATGTGTGTGTGCGTGGCATGGTATGCGTGTGTGTGCGTGGCGTGGTATGCGTGTGTGTGCGTGACGTGGTATGCGTGTGTGTGTGTATGTGAGCACATGTATATGGTTGTTGTGTTCAATAAATAGAAAAATAAAACAATGTTTATACTTAATTATATTTATACTTTCACTGTGTAATCCTGTATTCGTCTTATTATTGATTAGTTATATTTTATTGTTATTATTATAAGCACTGTTGGATTACCGAAATAAATAAATAACAACTCCATATTTATTTCAGGCTTTGGAAATGCTTCATGCTGGATCCGACGAAGAAAAAGGAAGCCACAGACTCTAAAGCGGCGAAATCTCTTCTTAACATGAATGCACTGATTAGATGATTTAGTTCTTAAACAACTCTTATGACTGATACATTGTGATTATTTATAATGTTAATTAAGTAAATATTGTAAAGTATTTACTAGATTTTTATCTAGTATATTGCTAATAACCGTCTATTATTAAATTTATTCTCAGTTCAAAATAAACGACAATTTAGAACTCATTTATCCAACGACGTGGTATTGTAATAATATTGTTTACATGACATTTACGTTTATTGTTAAAACTTTTTGAAGCTTATTCGTTTTCGACGGAGCAAACGAAGTTGAGGTCGTAAAATGTAATACAAATTTCTCTTGAAATCAAATGTTATAATAAATTTTCTTTTGCTCTTCGCGTTTTCGACCTTTTCTGTTCTAACATTTCATTACCTCGGCTTCCTTGTTTAATGAACTTTGTAATAATATTACGTGCTTAGTTAATTTCTACTGTTTCTATGAATTTAAGAGTGAATTGTGATTTGTGACCATTTTAATTACTGACTGTTATTTTATTTTGAAATAAAGATATCCTGACGTGAAATTCTTTATACTTACCTTAAAGTTTTCAGTATGCTGTTAAAATGAAACACATCTTAAAAAGTAATAGTTTAATTATTTAATAGTAAAATAGTATTGGAATGTAAATGAAAAATGTGATAGTTGGACACTATATGTGTATAGTTACAATTTAATTTAAAACTATATGTGATGTTACAAAGAAAATTATTATGGAAGCCATGTTCTGACTAGAACAAAAGATAAGTGTTTAAGGTGAAATAACTTTTAAATGCAAAATAAGGAACTAAAATTCATTACCAAGCATAACTCAAACATTTTTACAATTCCATTTCAAATAAAATATATAGAGCTAAAAATAAAAAGCCAAAATACATTAGCTGTGATTCAAGATCTTTACAATCATCAATTAGTCTTAAATAACATTAATTCATTTTGAAAATATTTCTGAATAAAAATTATTATTTATTACAATTACTACACTGGATTAAATAGATTTTTCTTAGATCTCTAAGCTTTTTTTCTAAAAGACCACATCTGTTTTATAGTTATGTAGTTTAATTTTACCAAGATAATAATGTTAGTACATATGATTAATAAACAGTTAAATCGTGAAGAAGACCAAGTAGAAGAAACAGCACCATCGGTAGCCAGTGAAGCAATAGGACGTGCTCTCTCTGACAATGAACCGGGACGAATGTTACAATACACTTGCAAAGCCCCTGCAGCACCTGAAGGATATCAGAACAGATTACGTGTGGTGTATTCTCAAGTAAGTTGTTAAATTAACTAGGAGCAAGCTTATGAAACTTATATGCATAATAATATACAATTTTAATTTTCTTTTAGGCCAAAGTTCCATCAACAGTCAAAAATACAACCCGATATATACCTCAGGGACCTGATAGAATACTTGATGCTCCTGATATATTAGATGATTAGTGTAAGTAGATCATGTAATGCCTGTGAGTTAAATATGTTCTTAATTATATTTTTATAATGAATCTTCTACTTTTTCAGACCTAAATCTCGTTGATTGGAGTGCATCAAATATATTGGCTGTAGCTCTTGGGAATTCTGTATATTTGTGGAATGCTGGCACGGGCCTTATAGAACAACTATTGACTTTAGAAGGTTCAGAAACAGTATGTTCAGTATCATGGGTTCAAGGGGGAGGATCACACTTGGCGGTCGGCACTTCATCTGCAACGGTAGAGATGTGGGTTTGTGAGAAGATTAAAAGACTGAGGGTAATTTATATACAAATGTACTTAAAAGCACTGATTTTAATATTTTCGTAATGGTTGACATATTCACATATTTAATGGTTTTAAAAAACAAAAATTTGAAAGTCTACACTATGTGCTAGAATTTGCAATCATATTTTTGTATTCTTATATCTTGTACACAGTTTATTTAAAGCTCTGAAACAAAATCTATTGAATTACCAGTTAGAAATAAAAAAAATGTGAGAAAGCTAAGATTCTCAATTTTGACACACATTATGCTTAGAATCTTATCACTGTAACAGCATTCTATTTAAAATCTAATTTAATATATTATAGAATATTTAAATAACAGATTTGCTACATACATGTATATAAAGATGCTGATATGTCTGTGCAACAGTAAATTAAGATAAATATATTATTATTATTTGCAGACAATGGATGGTCACACAGGTCGTGTGGGTTCTTTGGCTTGGAACTTGTATGTGGTGTCAAGCGGTGCTCGAGATGGTAACATTGTACACCACGACGTTAGACAAAGAGATCATGCTGTGGCAACCATTAGTGCTCACACGCAGGAGGTTTGCTCATCGTTATAGTTATTTTTAGTTTAATTTTAAGTTAAATTATTTTATGTTAAAGTGTATTTGATTTACATGTACCCGATCATAATTTCGATTTGGCTATTTTTGACAGACTCCAAAATTGTATTATATTTTGTTTTTATATGTCTTCAAATAAGTGGGAGGTTTTCAATTCGTCGTAATTTTTTTTATGTATATTCCCCAATTTCTTGGATACTATTGAACCGATTAAAAAAGAATTATTCTTTTTATCTGAAACTTTGCACTCTTTAGGTGGTAACATAGTCACCAAGTCGGATTTTCATTTTGGAAGCCTTTAATAATTGAGGGAAATCAAAAAAAAACTTTTTCTGTTTTATTATTTTATACTGCTCACCATTGTCTAATCTTGTCCTATCTCGGACGCGCATAATATTATTGAAACGAATCATTCTCTTATCTGCCGCTTCATTAAGAAATACTTGAGCAAATCGGTGTCTGGCAAAGACAATCAATTTGTTTGAGAGAAGTTCATAAACAAACGACAATCGACTTCTTGCTCACACTTTTCGTTTGATAGCCGTTTATGGACAAGAGAGAACCGATGTAACCGTTGTTCAATTGTCTCTTGATACATTTTTTTAAATATAAATGCGCATTTGAGAATAAAATATTATTGAGTATAAAATTAGTTTGCTCTTTTGTTTCTGTGTTTCAATGTCGTTTTGAAGTCGTTTTTTAAGTTCGAATTAAAATTATTTTACTTGTTATTTTATGTATGTAATTGAGTAAATATTGTGGAAATATACAAATGAATATACTGTTATTGTATCAGTATAAAATAAACGAGTTAATGTAATCAACATAATATGTGGATATAAACACAAATATTATGTATATTTTTTGTAAATAGTAGTCTACTTTGTTGTAAGGAGGCTCTAAAGAGAAAAGCACATTTAACGGTTGACGAACTAAAAAAAAATCTTTTTATAAATTTTTGTTCTCAGTAAGGAATATACCGAGCTTTCCTCTAGCAAACACCAATTAAGGCACTTATCATTCGTACATCGATATGTGGGAAATACGTTTAAAAAAGGTTTAATTGATTGATCGAAAGGTTAACTGAAAAAATATCTTGAGAAATAGAGACAAGATACCGACAAAGGATGTTTATCGTATCTTAAAAATAATGCAAAACATCCATAATAAATAAATAATACCTTATAATATGTAAACCATCATGTTCGAGTCTTTGATCAAAATTGTTTAAATACAATATATGTCATTTGAGATCATAAAAATGTCCCTAGACATCAAAAATTTGTATAGATTGAATATACAATAAAATAAAACCATATTTTTCAGATTTGTGGTCTTAAATGGTCACCAGATGGCAAATATCTGGCCTCAGGTGGTAATGACAACTTACTAAACATCTGGCCCACAGCTCAGGGACAGCATTATACTCAACCACAATACTTATACTCATTCAAGTAAGTGTCAGTTATTTCACAGACTTCATATGATTATCTTGGTTTATATTGGTTAGGTAGAGTAGAGAGAGCATCTTGTACGGTAGAAGTGAGAGCAAAATATTCCTTAAACCTACACCTGGGTCTCAAGTCCCAGGCACTGTCGAAGCTCCTCTCCTCTCCTCTGAGAAGTCTTGTCTCATTTTGCATCAATGTACCTTAATAATTTGTATAATCGTGTTCAACATTATAACAATTTAATTAAAATTATTAAAAAAAATGAGGTTTTAAAAATTTTTTCCGATGTGAAGCGGACCCGAACCCACATCCTCTTTAAAATCGCGTTTCAACTGTTTTACCACTATAGACTATAGTTTTCGTGCAGATTCATATCTTGATTTTATACTAAAATTTTAATCGATATTATCCGTTCTTGCATAATATTTTTCTATCTCAACACTTACAGTCAACACTTAGCCGCAGTGAAGGGTCTCGCTTGGTGTCCTTGGAGTTCCGGCATCCTAGCGTCAGGTGGAGGAACTGCTGATAGAACTATACGGATCTGGAATGTCAATACAGGAGCTAACTTAAACACCGTCGATACCAAGTCTCAGGTAATATTGGCTATCATAAATTTTAATATTAGAATCCATTCATATCAGAACCTTTTTGTGAGAAAGTCAATAACATGGAAATATTCAAAATGTTATTCTCCTTTTCTGTATTTAATACAACGTAAATTGTTTGTCAGGTGTGTTCTATAGTATGGAGTACGCACTACAAGGAGCTTGTGTCCGGTCACGGTTATGCTCACAACCAGTTGGTTATATGGAAGTATCCGACATTAACACGTGTGGCCGAGCTGAGCGGACACGTGGCGCGTGTGTTACATCTGGCGCTATCACCGGACGGTACCACCGTGCTGTCCGCTGGCGCTGATGAGACGCTAAGGTGTGTATTGGTCTGTGTAGTGTAGTGTGCGTGTATTGGTGTGTGTTTATTTGTATATATTGTCATGTGTGTGTGTGCGTGGTATTCATGCTGTGTGTTGCGTAGCCTGGTATGCGTGCTGTGTTTGCGTGGCGTGGTATGTGTGTATGTGTGCGTGGCGTGGTATGCGTGTGTGTATATGTGCACATGTATATTGTTGTGTGTGTTCAATAAATAGAAAAATAAAACAATATACAACTTAATTGTATTTATACTTTTACCGTGTAACTCTATATTCGTCTTATTATTGTTTAGTTATATTTTACTGTCATTATTATAAGCGCTGTTGGATTACCGAAATAAATAAATATCAACTCCATATTTATTACAGGCTTTGGAAATGCTTCATGCTGGATCCGACGAAGAAGAAGGAAGCCACAGACTCTAAAGCAGCGAAATCTCTTCTTAACATGAATGCACTGATTAGATGATTTAGTTCTTAAACAGATCTTATGACTGATACATTGTGATTATTTATATTGTTAATTAAGTAAATATTGTAAAGTATTTACTAGATTTTTATCTAGTACATTGCTTATAACAGTCTATTATATAAATTTAAATTTATTCACAGTACAAAATAAACGACAATTTAGAACTCATTTATCCTACGACGTGGTATTGTAATAATATTGTTTACATGACATTTACGGTTATTGTTAAAACTTTTTGAAACTTATTCGTTTTCGACGGAGCAAACGAAGTTGAGGTCGTAAAATGTAATGCAAATTTCTCTTGAAATCAAATGTTATAATAAATTTTCTTTTGCTCTTCGCGTTTTCGACCTTTTCTGTTCTAACATTTCATTACCTCGGCTTCCTTGTTTAATGAACTTTGTAATAATATTACGTGCTTAGTTAATTTCTACTGTTTCTATGAATTTAAGAGTGAATTGTGATTTGTGACCATTTTAATTACTGACTGTTATTTTATTTTGAAATAAAGATATCCTGACGTGAAATTCTTTATACTTACCTTAAAGTTTTCAGTATGCTGTTAAAATGAAACACATCTTAAAAAGTAATAGTTTAATTATTTAATAGTAAAATAGTATTGGAATGTAAATGAAAAATGTGATAGTTGGACACTATATGTGTATAGTTACAATTTAATTTAAAACTATATGTGATGTTACAAAGAAAATTTTTATGGAAGCCATGTTCTGACTAGAACTAAAGATAAGTGTTTAAGGTGAAATAATTTTTAAATGCAAAATAAGGAACTAAATTTCATTTCCAAGCATAACTCAAACATTTTTAACATTCCATTTAAAATAAAATATATAGAGCTAAAAATAAAAAGCCAAATACATTAGCTGTGATGCAAGATCTTTACAATCATCAATCAGTCTTAAATAACATTAATTCATTTTGGAAATATTTCTGAATCAAAATTATGATATTTATCGGTGCAAACATGTTTTTTTTTTCAAATACATATTAAAACATATTTATTGAAGCTCTTAGGCTAATATTGTACTCATATTTTCAAACAAAAATCATTCACAAATAATTATTATTATAACTAAGTACTCATCTAATAACTAATTATTCCATACAAAAATGCAATAATCTAAAAAATATTAATCGTAACGTTATTTAATGTACCTAAACATTCTATAAGTTTGGTGTTGTAACAATAATAATGATATCGTTAAAACTAAATTTAGCTAGGATTTAAAAGAAAATATATCACAAAAATATATAATAAAGAGACGTACAAAGAGTCTCCCCTAAACCAAATATTAAAATTAAGTTTTCAAATAAGGGATTTTCAATTAGTCCACTGCAGAATAGTACTGACATTTCTAAAAACAAAATATAACCTAACAGTTAATAAGAACACATTGTTGTCTAAAAAAACTACGTTAACTAAGTTTCATATAAAACTTATTAAATATAAACTGCCTCATTACTATGTAAGCTCAATTCATTATTGTTTTAAGTACCTATTATTATTATAAAAAATTAAATAAGTACAAAACTGAAGTGATTAAACGTAATATAATATATGTATTTATACTTTTTGCTTATATTAAAAAGAATATTGAGATATTTTTAACATTAATATGCTTAATGTTTTTTTTTAAATTATTATTATGCCTTAAGGTAAATAAAAAGAAAGGTTGAGTAAATTGGAAATACTTAATAAATGTGATATTTATGTAACAGGTAATTTTAAAAAACACCTTTACGTTTATTCAACATTGTTATCCTACATTATCAAACAAAACAATTGTATAAAATTTACTAATTCGTGAGATTTATCCAATAACATTTAAAATGGAATCCGGAATGTGGATTAATACATATTAATTATTAAATTGTTTCCATTAAAAGATTCTAAAAAATATTGAGAATCTATTGAGACCGTTAATTATACATATATCAATTCTTAAGTATCAATTCATAAGACTGATCCCAAGCTCCTTGTATGAGAGGGCTCGGTCATGGCAGACATGGCCACTGTATTTGATATTGGTTCAATATCCCTTACCAAATGTTCATGGCTGGTCGTCAGATTACCACCGTACTTGAAGCTTCTTCGTAAGCTGGACCGAATGCCTTTGGAGTCGTTCTTCCTGACGAAGGAACGCCTGAGGTAATCCCTTGTGAGTGTGAGCGATTGTCGTGAGGACGTCGGTCGGATATGTCGTGTCGTATCCGGCTCGTCGGTGATCGTCGCGGGTGTGAAGGGCCGCTGGTCGGTAGTCTGCGGCTGTCTGTCGACGCTCTCGCTCAGTGTGATGGGCAGTGATGTCTCGTCGACCGTTTCTTCACGTGTTGATGTTATTCTGAAAATATGTGTCTGAGATAAGTGATTGAACGGTTTACCAGAAAATTAATTAATCTCGAAATATTAAGTCTTTAGAAAAACTTTTTGTTTATATCAATTTCGTTACAACTTCTTAGCCATAAAAAAATATTTACTGCATTCACCTACATTCTATATATCTATACTAGCTTTCCGCCCGCAGCTTCGCCCGCGTGGAGTTCGGTTATGTCGCGTTTCCAAGAGAACCTTTCAAAAGTCTGGGGATAAAAACTATCCTATGTTCTTTCTCAAGGTTAACTCTATCTCTGTACCAAATTTCTTTAAAATCAGTTCAGTGATTTAGGCGTGAAAGGGTAACAGACAGACATAGTTACTTTCGCATTAATAATATTAGTAGGGATAAATTATAGTATAGAATAAAATATATATCGGACCAAATTTATAAAGTGCATTCCAGCACTTTACCACGAACTACGTCGTCGAAGTAAATAAGAAGCATTTAGAGTTTTTCATTGAAGACTGGAACAACGTCATATTTAGTTCGGCGATACAAACATTTGGTTAAGTAGAGACGAAACTTCACAGCATTCAATGGATTCACCGTGCGGGTGTCGGCTCCATCGCGTTGTAGAGAGAGGAGCTTCAACAGTGCCTGGGACTTGCGACCCAGGTGTAGGTTTAAGGGGCTCTATCTAACGCGTTATACGCTCACCTCCACTGTCCAAGCTCCTCTATCTACCTAACCAAATTTGAAAAGAACCTACTAGAGCTGCCTTTAATTTACAAGTTACCTCCGTAGTGTTCTAAAGCTCCTTCTCAAAGTATGCATAAGTCGGGCTCCTGTTGCGGTTGAGTATGATGGAGGCGGCGTATATTTGGGTGGAGGGTCCGGGGGCGAAGGCCTATCTTCAACCGCACCGATAACAATCGGCGTGGAGCCCGACGAACCAATACGAGGACGATACAGATTCTGTATTCTCTGTTGAAAAAAAAATGTTATTTTACAGACAGATAATAAATAAAGAGAAAAACTTTTTGGTTAGCTAAAAAATACATCCAGCGTAAAGTGATAAAAATAATAAACTATGACAACATCTGTTTAAATTTTATATTTAGATTATTTATCTTAAATCATAGTTCACAGTCACTTTACACTTATATAATTATAAATACAAGACGATGTCCTCACCGGGTCATCAGCGCAAACGATTGACTCGTCATCCTAGCAGCGTATACATATTAAAATAAAATAATTATTATATACGTTTATACCTCCATATATATTTATATTTTCTAATAAATCTCTATAATTAATTAACAAATATAACCCACCTCTAGTATATCTGTAGGTCCTTTATATATGTATATCCATGTTTGTACGAAAGCGGTTACCGGTACAATCAGAAGTGCGGTCAGTTGTAAGAAAACTGCCAGTTGGCGTGTCCATATTGGCCAGTAACTACAAAAGAATAATAAATTAAAATTATTCAAAATTAAATAGCTCGTAAATATATTTCAGATTCGTTTAAAGTAATTAAAACAGGCAACCTTATTACCTGATAGGTTTCCGCCAACTGTACAATTGTCGTTGCTGTCCCGTCCGAAAATCCATTATGCATATTGCCTGAAAAACAAAAATAGTTACATTATAAATTATGAAAAAACCTTACTTCATTCGAATTTTAAAAATTCGACAAAAAAATGAGACAAACAGCATTAATTTTGTTTAATATGAGAAAACAACTTGTTTAATGAATTAATATTCAACAGTAATAGCGTATGTTGACTACATCCACCCTCGTACCACGTTATCTATTTAGTTATGCTACTAACATTATCGGTATTAACAATATAAACGTACACAGAGCAACACAGGTAGCACCACGGTCCACGTGAAACTCAATAGAGCGGCGAGTGTTGCTGACAGACGGGTGCCCGCGGCGTACAGTGCCCCCACCACAGCGTCCGGCGAGTACGGCCGCCCTCGTACCACGAACACACCCACGACCAGCGACACGTGTACGATGCACTGCCACCAACATCCCACCCACACGTAGTCGATGAAATGTACTATACGTATACCCGCCTGTAGTTTAAACATATCATTTTTATATTCTAACTATGACAAGAGTCTTATAGGGATTTATCCTACTAATATTATAATTGCGAAAGTTTGTGAGTGTGTGTGTATGTTTGTTACTTCTTCACGCTCAAACGGCTGAACCGATTTTGATAAAAAAAAAATATATATTAAGCTGACGTCCAGGAATAGCACATAGGCTACTTTACATCCCGGAAATCCGCGGGTAACAAAGCGGGGCGCAGCTGGTATTTAAATAAATATAGGTAGATAATTTTTATAAAAGAAGGTTATGTTTCTCCATATTACATAAGTTATCTATAAAAGAACCGCCAAACCCGGTCCTACCGTTACAAAAATTATCCGGAACAAATAAACAAATAGACAAAAATTAATATGATAATTTTATATGTATGTAGGTTGTTAACATCCACATAAACTTAGAAGTATATACTTTTTTAATCATATTCAATTCCTTTGCATAGATAGAAGTTTATATAAAAAAATATATCAAAAGACTCACATCAGTAGATAAAAGCAATCCCACAGCCAGTCCAAAAACACAGCTTAGAAAAGTTATAGTTGTCTCCCATACTTTGAGGGCCTTAGCGTTAATAGCCATGATCCCTGTTATGACGCAGTGCCATATAGCAAGCTGTTGAGCTATACCAAACATTATTAAGATGAAGTAGAATATTACCGCCCACGCTGGTGACAGCTGAAATAAAATATATAAAAATTAATCTTACATTGAATAATAATATATTTTATCTAAAAAAAACTTCTAACAATAAAGTTAGAAAATATCTTAATGAAATGAAACTAATATTTTGAGGTTTACTACGTGATTTTAGTAATTTTAACTACACACTCCCGACGTTTCGGTTACTTTCAGCAACCGTGATCACATGCAGACAAGATGTGATGGTAAAATTTTTCAATGATCATACAAACATATCCAGTAAGTAATCAATAATATTTTACTACCAATTATTAAGACCCATATTATATTACTAGAGATAGAATCAAAATTGATCTATTATCTTACAAAATTTGTTGGAAGTACAGCCAGTGTAGCGGGAACAATCTGGGTTGCCAGTTGTAAAGGTTGCCAACCACTCAATGTTCTTGCAATGTTGCCAGTCTTCCATACTGTAACTCCTACTAGACTACCATAATGCCCCATATACCGCAGGGGAGTTGACACTGTGTTGCCAGGTAGTGGTTCCGAGACTGGCCATAAGAATTGTGATGATTTAACTGTCTCTGAAAATAATTATACAGATAATTATACAATGATAAAATGCTAATGTATTCTGTAGTGTATTCACAAAAAATACTTAATGTATATGTATAAAACATTTAAGATACACTAATAATACTTTGCTTGTATCTCTTATGTTTATTACTTGTTATAATTTGTATACTTCGCATGTCATCCATTCCGAAACTAACACCGAGGTACGTTTTACTGATGTCAAAATATTAGAAATAATCTGAGAACTTCCAATCTATATATGTATTTAATTAGAACACATAAAATATTGTCAATTTAAATTTAAATAAGAAATTAAAAATGTAAATACTATATTTACCGAAACTACTAGGCACGTAGGTGAAGCCATATCTCTTCAATATAACAACACAGGTATTAGCTAAGAAAGCTCCTAAAAGTAGAACACTTATAGTGAACACAACTATACAAGCACTCTCCCGTTGTAGTGTAAGATGTGTTTTGTGTTTAGGATGTTTGTGTGTAGTCAACTGCATCACACACGCTGACAACAAACCCCATGTCAGATAAGTCTCTTGAGCAGCGGCGGCCCAACTCTGGAATGAAGAGAAATTTATCACTATAATATAGAAATTTAACAATAGGAGAACTTATTTAGAGAATCTACCCTGTTACAAGTGTTTAAAGTGGTCTTAGTCATCAATATTCTATTGTAGAAAAGTATTTAAGAAATAGGATTCATGAGGCAAATATCTTACAGTTTATTTTGAATGAACTTGAGAATTATTTGCCTAATTCAAGGATTCATTTCAGGGCATTAAAAATTTTGACCCATATTTATAAATTATAAATTATGTAATTTTGCAAAATGATGAAAATTATAGCAATAACATAAAATAAATAATACTTACACTACTATTTATAAAAAATTCGCTCCATTCAGTCTCAGGGAATATATTGGTCACAGTATCATAAGGTATTAGAGTCAATAGTTTGATAGAAAGCACTAAAGTACCGCAGATAGGTAAAAATATCAGCATATACACAGCCTGGAAAGAAAAAATTAAATTATAATTCAAATATAACTATCCAATTTTAATCTTCATGCAATATTTTAATTAAAATATTACATGCAAGTTGTAAAAGAATATTGAGCAACAAGATTTATTCAGATCATGCAATTTGTATGTAAATGTAATTAGTATTAGCTCACCTTGCCGTATGACCTCAATCCTTTGCTGAGAGAACAAAAAACTATCATCCATACAACAGCCAAGTTGAATGCCACTTGAAACTTTATAGTACCAAAACTGTTTGAATTCACATTTCTCTGAAGCACTTCACTATGGAAATACTTTGGCAGTGTCTCATATATTTTAGTGTTATTTCTATGACCTACAAAATAAATATAATTTAGAACATCATCTACTATGAGATCTATTATAAGAATAAAATTCACTTACTGTCAAAGCTGTATTCATTTGGTAATGCCCATTTGTATATATCATCAGATGTTATAAAGGAATCCCTGAAGTAAATGAATATCCAGGACAATCCAATTATACTATACATTCCAATAACAGCTTGTGTTAACAATAATGATATACCAACACCTTGGAATATTGGAGATATCTTCCACATATCAACTGGCCCAGATTCCAAAACTTGACCCAAACACAAGTGCAGTGTAAACAATGGTATACCAACTATTAATGATAGTATAATAAATTGCACTATGAAACTAGCTGAAAGTAAATAAATAATATGTTTTATTTCCTTCTTCCTAGTCTTTTTCCATTATTTTTTCAGCAAAGACTTGTCTTCCGACGTTTCGTTACTTTTTTGGTAATACAATGATGGAATGAAATATTACAACCTACGTACCTCCAAAGTTAACGCTAAATATGGCAAATCTTGAGATGTTGAATATTCCTATCGTGCAGCTGAAACACGCTAGCATCGCGCTCATTTTATGCGGCCAAACTCCAAACGGGGGCATATCGGTATCCTCATGTCTAAGGAATGTTAAAAATTATGAGATAATTTGTTTCGGTTCTAGTATTTTTATTACCAAACTTTCAATTTTACTGCAGTCACGGATAATTTACCTAAGTATATATTAAACTAAGAAACAGATATTTTTTTTTTTACTTAATTCAGTTTTTGAAGATCTTGAAGAATCCTTGAAGACGAATGAAATGAAACATGCAAGGCCAATAGATAGTACATAATTAAAAATTTACGTCTATTTTATTTTTATTCAATTGCATTGTACAAAACGATAAACAAGCGATGTTTACCATCAAAAAAAAACCCTGGTAGGAAATTACGTAAAATGTCATTGTTTTTTATCATCACAATTGTTTGACGAGACGTGAAAAGTATAAAAAAGAGAAACTATGTGATTTTAGCAAAATACTTGCTTTCACTCAAAAATTACAGATTTAAATTAACCGTAAAGACCGATTCTCATTAATCAACTTAATAGAAAATTTATTACAGAAGTAATTTATTTAAAAGTAATTACGTTTATCAATAAAAATAAAACGTTTTACACATTTGAACACATTTTAGTTTTTCAGGTAGGTATGTATTCTTATAGGTATAGGTATGTCAAGCGGGTCCTCTAAATAGATTTAATTATAATATTACCGCTGGAACATCATTGTTTTAAAGATTTATCGTAATTATTAGAAATAATTTATAAACATTCGTGTAACCTAGAAAATGACTATGAATTACAGAAGAAATTATACTAAATCTATTTGATCAATGCAGTACTTACCGGTCCTCAGAGGCTGGACTGTGATTTACAGCGGCTAACCCAGGCAATGAATCTTCTGACGAACTAGATGCACTCGCGCTTCTCGCTAGACTTCTTGATATTCGTTCGTTCCAATTAGTCGTGATATCACTATCAACAGGAGACGGTAATGATAACGCTCTGTTCATTAACAGTGTCCGTCTTCCAACTATGAGTGGTCCCGAACTCCCATCACTACTCAAATTAGCCGCGGTCACTTGCAATTGTATAGGAGAACTTGTAGGTCGCGCGTTGACATGATGCTCCAAAAACAATATGACAGGCAGTGTAAGAGGTTCAGATTCCTGGTTTGTTATAGCCGGTAGAACTATAGGATCTAATCTTCTCATTGAATTTCTTAGCGTATTGTTTACTGTATTCGCCCTTTCTAAAGCCTGAGCGTTGGTGAACTGTGTATGATTTCGTGGAATTTCAGAGAAACTTTTCGAACGGATGAGATTATTACGTGTGATGGGAGCGCATTGTGAAAGTTCTAAATCATCTATTGATGCTGTCGAAGATGGAAGAACGGAGCACACGACTTGTGTATCATCATCTATAGAGTTCTGGGATCCTAAATGTTCAGATATATTTTCATTATCCACTATACATTCTTTTATTTTACAAATAATATCCTCTTCGTCAGTGTCTATAGATTTAGTACCATCGTCAAGACATGCAAGCAGTGATTTATCTAGGACTTCATCTAAATCATTTAATATGTCCATAAACTGACCAAGTGCGGCTGCTTGAAATTCCTCATCATTTGTGATGTTGTTATGTGATTCATGGTTTGCATCAGACTTATAAAATAAAGGTAAATGTTTTGTGAGGTCATCTTTCAAATCTTCTTCATCTTCACTTATTTGTTCACTGCTTTCATTACTCTCAAATACACTCGATGTATCACTGTCAATACCACTACTTCCTGGAAAACTCTCCTTTTGTTCATACCTACCCTCTTCCATTGCGATTGTTTCCATTTTTATAGCATGACCTAAGTCATAACCAGCTCTCTTTGGTGTAAACCCTGAAAAAAACAGTTTTCAAATACACTTCAACTTCAATACACCTAAAATGCTAATTAAAAACCCACATAGTTTTGATAACACTATTTTCCACAACTTGAACATTATAAAAAACTTCAACACAGTATGGATTTCGCTGTACAAATAGACTTAAGACTAATGAATCTTATTATCATGAAAATGTGTGAATAACATCTAACTATTACAGTATAGTGTGAAGTAAGCATGTAATCTGTTCCAAGTGTATGACTCATTAATGTTCTTAATAATTAGGACAAGACAAAGCCTTGAGGTGGTTTAACCCGCTTGTTTATCTAAATAATGGCACTATAACAAATCCACTGGCACCATAATGAAGGTATTATAAATGTTCAAGACAAAGAAATTAATCTAAATATTTAATAAAGTCAATTATCCATTAAATAATATAAGACCTCTACCAAAAGTTTTAATTTACACACTGTCTAGGTTTCAGGAAATCAAATCCTTTTTTTTTTTAGAAAAAATATATTAAACCAGTATTATAAAATTTTAAATTACAATTCTGTTTCCTTATTGGCTTACTAATTACAAGTAATAATTTAGAGAAGAGTAACTTTTATAATAAATGTGAAAAGTGTTTTTTATTTATAAACTCTCAATACAATCTTTATAGCTGTAATTAAATGTTCAAATAGATGATAGCATCAAGTATTATTGTGCTTTCTTTGTTTTTATCTTATTATTTTACAGTACTGTTTATTTCAGTTTGTTTTTGTAAATTGTTATTGTATATAATTGAAAACTATAGGATTATCCTAGCAAGATTTTTATAATTTTTCTTTCTATATTAGTAAAAACAGAAGATATTCAGAAATATTATAAAATCTCTGGGAAACTAGGTATTTTATTGAAAAAACATAGCACAAAAATAGAAACTTCTTTAAAGCAAATGAAATTTTATCTTACTTTTATCTACCTAATTGCATATGGCACTGTTTTATTCAAGAGTAGAGTATAAGATAAATGATTGGAAACATGGACGTAAATGTATAATAAGACTTACCTATTTATTTGTTTACTGCATTGTCCATAACCTTCCATCCTAAAGGTGAAACAATCCCATATAACTTTTTATGATGCCATATTGATTGTAAGAAAGTGCACTGAGCAAAACTTATGACTAGAATACGATGTAAAAATTCTATGTACACATAAAAAGCTACGAGATATATATTGTAACTAACTCACTATTAATTATTGTACTCGTTTTCTTTTATTATTTATGATCACTGACTTAGAGATAACTTATTAATGAAAGGGTGAGTAATGACTTATGACATTTAACTGTGGCATTAGAGAATTCACAGTACAAGTACCTAGTACTTACTACCTACAGTCTTCTACGTCTTTGTATGAAACTGTCAAATTTTCAATTTGACATAAGAAATCTACAGAGTATGAATATTATGAATGGCTATGAATTATTTCGTAAAATAAAATGAACATTGACTTTATCTATGAGATAACTTTATAAAGATAATTGTTTGCTTATGCGCTTAGAACTACAAAAAAGAATGTTTGAACAGCTTTCTCAACATTTCCTGGGAGTTTAAATGTTGCTAGAGAGATTTTTTCCTTATACCCATATTATTGCTCCAATCAAGATATAAAAATGAAACCCTATTTAGAAACAACTTTGTTGAATGTGCATAATTTAAGGACTGCTTGATTTACTTAGTTTTGGACAAGTTTAAAATAACAGCATATTTTCCTATTGTAAACATATAACAATTTTGTATGATATGACTCTTTAATTTATATATATTTTCGATGAATGAAGTAGAAGTATATATACGTATTTATACTAATAGATAATTTAATAAAGATTATTTTTTATGTAGGTAAAAGTCCATCGATTAAAGTGATTTTTTATATTTTTATTAGTTCTTACTTTATTAATTGTATTTTTAGGGACTTAAATGTTTTGATGGTCCCGTAAATGCTCCTGAGTTATAGTTTAAGTACAATACGAGGATAATAATATTAATACTACTAAGAAGTGGTCATGTTTTTACATTTTATTATTATTTGCCAATATAATTATTTACACCTATAGATATCTTAGATATATAAAAGAATGCTACATAAAGAAATCTACAGACATTTATCCGATTATTCTGGTCAAAAATTTGTTGCAATCCTCTGATTAACAAAAAAAAAGGAAATTATAATATAAGTAGAATTTTATATTAATTACACTTTTATAAATATACCACGACATTGAATCTTGTACTATACAACAAGTCGGGTCAAAGATTATATCAACGAAATATCAAGCATTTAAATTTTTACTTCTTTCCCTTATATGAGAGTTCAATTTTCAATACCGATAAACATGAATAAATATTTTTTTTATAATTGCTATTTGCTACTTGTTATCTCTTACTCTTAATTTGTCGTCTCTAGCGGCGAGGTTTTTTTTACTAAACTGTATCTTCATTCTCATCAAATAAAGTATGATAATTTTAAAAGGAAGCACTTCAATCATGAACTTCAAAATGCATTTATCAAGAAAGGTTTGTAACTTCTAAGTTTTGGTGTGTGACAAACTATAAAAAACGTGTAATTTGAAGTTTTTAACCAGTCGTTTTCGATCCGTCTCTGAGTTAGGTTCTCGTATATTATTAACAGTATTAATTATTTATAAAAGATTATATTGAAAGAAATAAGTATAGGTATTAAATTTGTTGTTTTGTTTACCTTCCTGTATTAATTTTATATTTAGAAATTTCATGTTATTTTTTTTACTTAGTTGTTAACGGCCATGGCAGCATACTCTACAAAAGTTTCCTTAAACGAAGTGGTTATAGCATCCGCCGTGAGAACTCCTATAGGATCGTTCAGGGGAAGCCTTTCGTCCTTATCAGCCACCGAGCTTGGAGCTGTTGCCGTCAAAGGGGCCATTGAAAGAGCCGGCATTCCTAAGGAAGAAATAAAAGAGGTTAAACATATCAGTGCCACTTTCTAATTGTACAGTTATAATGATGATGAATTGGGCTAATGTTTGCTATCTATGGTGTAAGGTTTTGCTTGACTATTTAACTTGACACTTGTTTTATTATCTTAGACTGTATTGTTAAGAATGATAAGGTTTTCTAAAAATATTGCATCATCTCATTTATATAAAAGAATATTATAACTATTAGACAAGCACACCCATCCAAGTAAAATGTTAAATAAATGAATTTATTTTAGGTGTACATGGGTAATGTTTGTGCTGCATACCTTGGACAAGCTCCAGCCAGACAAGCAGTGATATTTGCTGGCATGCCAAAAAGCACAATATGCACAACAATAAACAAAGTTTGTTCATCTGGAATGAAATCAATCATGTTGGCTGCACAGGGCCTACAAACTGGAGCTCAGGATGTAATGCTTGCAGGTGGCATGGAATCTATGTCAAATGTACCTTTCTACTTAAAAAGAGGTGAAACTTCTTATGGTGGAATGCAGTTAGTTGATGGTATAGTGTATGACGGCCTTACAGATGTTTATAACAAATTTCACATGGGCAATTGTGCTGAAAATACAGCAAAAAAACTTGGTATATCAAGGCAAGAACAAGACGATTATGCCATATCTAGTTACAAAAAAAGTGCAGCTGCTTATGAATCCAAAGCCTTCGTTGATGAATTAATCCCAGTATCAGTACCTCAGAAGAGAGGTGCACCCCCAGTATTATTTTCTGAAGATGAAGAGTACAAAAAGGTTAACTTTGAGAAGTTTAATAAACTGTCGACAGTATTTCAAAAAGAAAATGGCACAGTCACAGCAGGGAATGCTTCCACACTTAATGATGGTGCTGCAGCACTCGTTTTAATGACAGCGGAGGCTGCACAAAGGTTGAATGTAAAACCATTAGCTCGTATTATTGGATTTGCTGATGGAGAATGTGATCCAATTGATTTTCCCATTGCACCAGCTGTAGCTATCCCAAAATTATTAGAAAAAACTGGTGTCAATAAAGATGATGTAGCACTCTGGGAAATCAATGAAGCTTTCAGTGTTGTGGCTGTTGCTAATCAAAAGATGTTGAATCTAGACCCTTCTAAACTGAATGTCCATGGTGGCGGTGTCAGTCTTGGTCATCCAATAGGCATGTCCGGTAGCCGTATAGTAGTTCATTTATGCCATGCTTTAAAGAAGGGAGAAAAAGGTGTTGCAGCAATTTGTAATGGAGGTGGTGGAGCTTCGTCAATTATGATTGAAAAATTGTAAGTTCTATTAGGCTCGCTTTTAAAAATTGGTTTTTGGTGAAATATATTGTAAATATAATTGTAATACACATATGATTTTACAATACTTTAAAATTATAGAGGATTCTTTAACTCAAATCTTGTGCCTTAAGAGAACTGTCTGAATGTGAATGTAATCTTTCAAACAAATATATTGCATAGCTTTAAGTAAAAATGTTTTATGCTTGTTTTAGCATTGTTAACTGTATACTTCACAGGTTTTTTGAAATATTATTTTGTTAAAGCAATAAATTACTATTTTTATTATATTCTTTTTATTATTGTGATACCTGAAGTTATATCATTTTTCAGGGCTGAGGCCATTGACGGCCCACCTGTTCTAACCTTCTACACTAAAGATCCATGTCAGCTTTGTGACATTGTAATGGAAGAATTATCACCCTACAAAGATAAGTTAATAATTGAGAAAATTGATATAACTAAAAAAGAAAATGTAAGGTGGCTTAGATTATACAGGCATGATATACCAGTATTATTTTTAAATGGAAAATTTCTTTGTATGCATAGATTAAATCACGGTTTATTAGAAAGACGACTGCAAATTATTGAACAAGAAAAAATCAATAACTAGAATTACTTAATAAAAAACAATATGGCACAATTAACAAAATATAAACATTGATTTCATTAAAAAATATATAGAATATAGTAGTGTTTACTTTTAAATTTGTAAAAGTTTTTAAAAAAATTCATGTAAAAAGCAATAAAATGTAAGTGTCGTTACACACAAAACAAATGATAGGTTTCGTTATATCGCTTTCGAGCTCCTAGTAGCAGAAGACAGCTGCTTTTGTGGATGAACATTTTTCTGTTTCTTATTGGAATTTGAATATTAAAACCTTTTTATAATAAGCTATGAGTTATGTATGTAAGAGAAACAAATTATTGATTTACATAATTTAACTTAAACTTTACAATTTAAAGATGTACCAAAAGTGAAATACATTAGTTTTATTTAATACCCACGTTAGTTTTATTGTACAATTTATGAGAACAGAGAATCATGTTCGTACAATAAGGCCAATTTTGAAGAAAGAAATAGTTTGTTTCAGAAAATTTTTAAAGAATGAAATATTTTAAGTTGACTTGAAACTTAATAACTTGATTGAAAATAAAATAAAAATTTATATAACATAGAAACAGATATTATGATAAATGATTAACAAGGCCTAGATTCACATTTTTAAGAAATTACAATCCTATTTTTTTTTATTTACCTAGTTACAAAGTAATACTTTTCAATAAAGATCAACTGACAACTTTTAAATTTCAGCTATTTATTATAATATTTTTTGTACTATGACGAGCGGTAAAATTAAAATATTTACATTTCTTACAATGTTATTTAATTCATATTTAGAGTATTATTATCAGTAGAAAGCATTTGTTATTATATATTATATTTTCAAAAAATATATTATATAATAACAAATGCTTTCTTCTGATTTTTAATTTAAGTGAAGACTATTGAGTTAACTTGTTTAAGTTCATGTTTTTACGTGTATTCTTTATTAAATTTAAGTTAAATTATTTAACGTAATATAATACTTATTTTGCAAGAGAAGTAAAAATCTCAATTAATTTATAATTGTTTTATTCATTAATAACTTTTGACAGTTATTTGGGTTTTAGCTAAAACGTTACGAAGTTTTTGTCTGTGCTCTGTCAATTTGATTCCATCCCCATATCTGGGACTAAACTAGATTTTCAGGAATTACAAATACAAAATAATAATAAAAAAGATATGAAAAAAAGAAGTAATTAATAAGAAATATAACAATTTCACTATTCTTAAATGTCGATTATGTTTTGTCATTTTCAACAAGTTTAAGATTGATATCTTTCTGCTATTTTTGTTGTTTCTAAATAAACAGAATGGATAATACCGCTTCTGCGATTCAAACCCTTGAAGCAGCGGCGCAAATGTTAATGGTTAGTTTTATTGGAGATTTAATGAATTTAATTCTTTTAATATCATACTTTGATAATATTTTTCTTGTTTAGGCGCCGCCAAATTTAGTAACTTCTGAGCAACGGCACCAAGCAGAAAGTGTGTTTCTAGAATTTCGAAGTACCAAAAACCCATATCAATTGTGCAGAGAGATTCTTGAAAAGTCTAGTTCAGATTATGTGTTATTTGAAGCAGCTGGTCTTATAAAAACAGCACTTATAAGAGAGTGGAACCTACTCTCTGAAAATGATATATCATCATTGAGGGAATATTTATTAAGCTATTTGCTAAGAAATGAAAGTCCTCCTTTCTTAAAAGAGAAGTTGTTACAGGTAAAGAATTATTTAATAAAAGTAAATTTACTGCTTGAGTAAATGTTAACCTGATATACACATTAATACTCAGTTCTACATATAAAGTATAAAATTTTACTTTAATAATAATACATATTATCTTTAATTTTCTACTTATAATAACTACATACACCTTAAAAAGTATGAAGTTGAGTCATGAAACATTTCTTTTTACTAGACAATTGCAGTTATAATCAAAAGAGGTAGTATCAGCGATGGTGGAAGAGAAAGAAAAGCATTATTGGAAGAGTTGGAAAAAATTATTTTAAGCTCACCTATTAGTCAGCAAAAATTGGCATGCTCTCTGATATTGGCCATCATGCAGGAATATGCTATTACAGTCAAATCAGCTGATGTTGGATTAATATGGGAAGTCCATTTTAGATTAAAGAAATCATTTGAAGCACTGGATTTAAAGAGAATATTTAGGTTTACTGTTAGTGTTTTAGAACAAATAGTACGTTCTGGACACCGTCCGGAGGGTGATCAGGCATTGCTAACAAAACAATTACTGACTATTGTTGAAACTGTATTGTGTTGGAGTCATGTCTCACCGTTGTTATCGAAAAGACTTATTGGTGCTTTTGAGGCAATATATGAAAGTGATACTGCACCAGCTCTACGTTTAAGCTTAAATTGGAAAGATACAATAATGCAACCGGAACTGCTGGCATTGTTCTTTGAAATTCACATGTATGTACGAACTAATCCCGAACTAGCAAATCCTTCACTGACTTGTTTAGTTCAATTAGCAAGTTTGAGTGGAGTTGTGGTTTCTGCTAGCAATCTAAAACAACAGTATTTAGAGAATTATGTCAATAGTTTTATGAGGATGCTAGCTTTCATTCAACCTTTTGATAGAGAAATGCTTGGTATATCTGATATTTATCGGCGATTAGTGCAATTTTTTACACCTTCAATGATTGCTTCAACACCACCAGCTTTTCTACAAAATCTAACAAATTATACTTGTCACTGTATAAGGGGAGCAGTGATGGAAGAAAGCGTAAGTATTTTTATTTATTGTTGCTGTTATTGTTCATTCATATAGGAATTAATTCAACAAAGCGATCTGAATGTGCTTAAATTCCAATTAAAATATTTTAGGCAAATGATGATACAGTATGGAGAGAGTCACTCAACAAATTTTTGCATACATGGAGTTCAATAGCTCATGATTTAGATGGATTTACTGATGAAACACTCATGAACCCATGTATTGAAATATTTAACACATATTTACAATGTAGATTAGCACCACCAGATGGGACAAGGTAAATAAAAGACATTTCTCTATATTACAACAACTTAACTTTTGGTTACAACAGATTCATATCAAAAATCGCCTATTCAAGGTAATATAACCTTTTTGTGAATAAATTATTCTTTCAGAGGTGCAGAAAACGAAAACTGTGCTGAAGATATTAAAGATGATATTGAGGAGGATGAAAGACAATTACACAGTAATGTTCTTCTTACTATTGGAGCTATTGCTCGCAAGGCACCTGCCCATTGTTGTCACATACTATTTACTTTGCTCCAAGACAGGAGTAAGAGGTAGTTATAATTACAGTATATAATGTTAATGTTAATTGTTTATCATATTTTTAAATAATTATCACAAATTCTCATGAACTGAATAGAGTGTTTTTATGTTAATAATCTTTTCAAGAACAACAGATTCTAATTGGATTTATTTTTCCTATATGAAAGCATATGTCACATGTAAAATAAATTAAGGTTTAAAAATCTTTGGAAATAAAATAAATTTATGCTTTTTTATAATTCTTAGGCTAGAGAGTCAACTTCAGATGATGCATATGGGTAAATTGCCAATAGTCAGTGGTGGCGAACAGCTAGTTACACTATTTGAAGATCTTCACTGGATTCTAATGATAACAGGTGTGTGTTGTTTAACAATTCAATCTTTCTTATTAAATGATATTAATTTCTATGAAATACCACAGATCCCTCTATACAGGAATTTACAACATTTTTATTAAATTTATATTAGAAGTGTATGTTTCTTTTACAACGATTTTATAGAAAGTAATTTACAAGTAAGTTGTAGTACTAAGAGAAGTAGAAGTAAAAATAAAGGAATTTCAATCTTTCAACTCAGTTTTGCACATATTTCTGCTTATACTATCAGAATACTGTTATGACATTAATGCTCTTCCACTAACTCTGTTTATAATTTTTTTAATAAAGAATCTTACATTGTTTATAATTTTTTTAATAAAGAATCTTACATTATAGAAAAAATTGTGGAATAATAATTTTGTTTATGTAAAACACATGTTTAATATTGTGCATTTTATATAGTAATAGATCAATAGATATTAATAACAGTTACTACTGACATATCTGCTAGGTCACTTTAATATCAAGCATTTCATTTAATCGACTAATACTTATCTCCCAGATTTTGTTCAATGATGCAATGTATTTGCAAGTGTGTTTTTGGATAGTTAAATTTGTATGTTTCATTTATATGTAAAACAATATAAAAATCTTTTTTATAAATTATATATGTACCAGTCATTCCTCACGACTTCGCCAATCAGAATCCGAAATGTATAGCTGACCGGCCGAACTCTGTTCCACCTTAGCGGCCGAAAATAAGCAGATTGTCTATTTTATTAAGTTATGTATTTTTTTTTGGATCGAACGGAATGAAAACTAATTCATGTTCATCTCTTGATTCTAAGCTACCTCGAAACCAAATTTAGGCCAAATCCTGAAAGTCTTTCTTGAATTATAAATAGTGTAACTAACACGACATTCTCTTATGTATACAGTACAAGGCTTAAGTATATGTAATGTTGAATTATTTTAGGTCATTTCCTAGCCGTGGATTGTACTGAGGGTGAAACAGTTATGATACCCTCGGAAATCGTTCAATACAGCATCTCTCAAAACGCCAATATTGAAGCATCTCTGAGATTCCTTGTCGGAGAAAGCACAAGTACTGAAAACGTTGATCCTATATTGAAGTAAGTAATAATTGTAAATGTTTACTATTATTATACTATTCTAGAGCTTTATTTATTAATAAACATAGTATCTAACAATAGTCTAATCTCTCAGAGGAAATGTGATTTGAATCTATGTTCCATTGTTAAACATTTTTCAGGCCCAAGAGTTTTATTATTGTAATATTTCATATATAAATATGGACTATTGTTATGTAAATCTCGTGAGATTTATCTTAGATAATAAATCGTAGAATCAATGGTTTTAAATAGATAAACATTCATTTAAATACATAATGTATGTTTTGATGATACCCATCACATCCTAGTGGTATTTGTTTCCATATTTACATTTATGTTTTATTCAAGAGGTTTCTATGACTCTTTATATAAGTTAAAAATTATATCTGATGTAATAGCTTGATAATATGTACTCTATTATTAAAATGAATTCAAACTTCGACTCCACACTCTCAATAAAAACAAAGTAAACAGGAATTATGAACAGAGTTGAAAAAAATTATTATTATTTATTTATATTACAAATGTAATATATAAATTTCTTTTCTTTGCTCACTTGAAAGCTGTAAAAAATTATGTGATTTTTTAAACATAATGATTTTATCCAATTACTCAGATGACCTAGATTTTCCACATCACTTAGATGAGAAAGTTTTTTTCATTTTTCACTAATATGTATTCGCTTTGAGTGGTTTATTAGCTATATATCCTGATTATGTAACACGTTTGTCTTAGATTGCATTCTATATTTAAATTTGGAATAATTTTATTCGTCCAATCAGATTGATCGGCGAGATCCTTCGCATCAGTTCGTGGGAGTGTATGGCGTTAGAGGCGGGTTTGGCCGTAGTATTTAGTCCGGAGCTATCAGCCACGTTGTCATGGCTACTTAAAATATGGGCCAATTCGTACCTCGTACCACAGCCTTCACATTACTCTGAGGTGAGAACTCAAAATGAAGCCAACGCAACGAGATAAATTTTGTAAACATTATGCTTTGTACTATAAATGATTTATTAGACACTAGTGGTAAAGTTTTCAGCGTTACATTATATGTAATACCGAGTATCAAGTAGTGAGAGTAACAGAAAAAGGAAATTAGTTGAGGGACGTAGGGAAAACTTTTTTAAAAAATTAGTTTACTTTTTAAAATTTTGCAATGAACTATCAAATAAGTAATTTAAACGTAACCATTGAGATATGCGTCCAAAAATTATAAGTATAAATGCCTATGTAAATTTATTGCGTAAAACATAATTTTAAACATATATTATACGGAATAATATCTTAAAAGTACTGTGGACATTATCATAGGAATTTACATCTCATTATGACGACGTCTTATGATTTGAAATGTTTATATTATATATTTATAGCCTCTTACTGAACATGACACAAAAATTCTTACGAGAGCGTCGACCAGAAAATCTTTGAACATTAAAAGCTACACGTGGAAAGTTTGAATTTATATTATCAAAACAATCTGTTAATAATTTCTGTTTGAGCTAAACATTTATGTATGTCAGTTTCAAACTTATAGTAAATAAAATGATAATGTATTTGTTTGCAGAATTTATTTATTTTAATTATCTACCATTTCTATTGCTAAAGCTGTATTTTATTTTATGTTTTTTATTTACTTTAAGTTTAATATTTTTGCTAATTAAATATAAAACTTAACATAAATTTCCCAACAATATTTTTTATAGTTAAATAATATTGCTTAATTATTGCACTTCCTTACTTGTAAGACTCGATAAATTTAATTTAAATTATATTTTTATGTTGATTATATTGTATTTGTAGTTTTGATACAATTACATCTTTCTATTACATAATCAAAAATCCCTATCTCAATATTGTCCCATAATTATGAAACAAATGAAAAGACCTTAATAATTGCGTTGACCAACCCATTTAAACTATTGCATTGAAATTAACAATCACATTAAACTATAAGATCTGTAATTACTAAAAATAGCTTATTAGGATATATAAATAATCTATTACGAATATATTTATAAATAAATATAATATAATTTTTCAGATTCTAGAGGTAGCTTTCGGTCGTGGGTCGCGCGGCGTGTCGTGGGCTGTGTCGCTAGTGGCGCGACGGGCGGCCGCGACACTAAGACACCTTTCAGCGCAGCCAACGGCAGCCAAACACGCGCTATTACTACTAGCGACCCTCGCACATTCACATCATAAGTATGATTTAAATTGAATCTTAGCAACGTAGTCATCTTTATACTCCGGCCGCTCAGTAATTGCTTTTATATAATGGGTATTGTCTTTATATAATGGGTAGCTTCAAACTAGCGATATTTTCAGCAATCTTTCAAATATCTTTTGTTTAATTCATTAACGAGTAGTACTGTTATGAATTGGAACAATTGTGCCAAATTTCAAGAAACATAATAATTGTAGTCTAAAACTATTAAAAATAATAATATTAAAAACTTGGTTTATTACATATAAACGTTTGGTCTTGTAGGAATTCGAAAAAATAATAAGGCATTTATAATAAAATATTCTTGCAATCTCAATATTATAATAATAAATAAAAATATATATATGTATTTATATTGTTATTGAAATACAATACAAATTAAATTGAGTTAATAACTTTGCTTATTATTATAATTAATTTTATTTATTGTACAATACTGAATTGAAAGGAGTCAGAAACGGAAACAGCCAGCGGCCGGAATATTAATGATCTAAATTAACAAAATGCGGTATCCCGTATCGGGAACAAAAGAATTCAGAATACTTGCCACAAGCCGCGTCATCCAACTAAATACTGAGACTTTCCAGTATATCATTATTACACCTTTGATGTATGATATATCGTATAAATGATTTGAAACTGTAAAATGTTATCTGTCTTTATTTTAACGTAGCACGTTCGTGGTAAGGCTACTAATTAGTAAAAGAATATACATTTATAACAGTATTCATATCTAGGATTATCTTAACATTGGTATCTAACATCATATTTCCAATGATGAAAAAGTTTTGGATATTTGAAAATATGAATATTATTATTTATTTACAATGACTATATTATTTTTAATCATTTATTATTTTAATGTCAACGATATTGTGTACATCTGTAAGTGTCACTCATATCAGGTCCTAGATTTTTTCTATTTTATCTGTTGTTTATGTGTGCTGAATATGTGTGATGTTGATGTACCTTTTAAATAAAAAAAAAGAAAAAATGAGAACTAAAAAAAAATAAGATATGTCTTAGCTCTATATAACATATTCATTGTCTCAGGGAAAGTCCATTGGCTAGTTGTGAGGAGTTTCTGTCTCTGGTGGCTTGGGAGGCTGCTGGGAGTAACCTTCCCGGGGAATTAAGGAGAGAGCTACACAGGGCGTTTGCTATAGCTGCTACTTATGCTGAAGGTAGGACTTGCATTTATATGGTACTAGGTTTCCGCCCGCAGCTTCGTCCACGTGGAGTTCGGTTATATCGCGTTTCCAAGAGAACCTTTCAAAAGTCTGGGATAAAAACTATCCTATGTTCTTTCTCAAGTTCAACTCCATCTCTGTACCAAATTTCATTAAAATCAGTTCAGTGGTTTAGGCGTGAAAGCGTAACAGACAGACAGACAGAGTTACTTTCACATTTATAATATTAGTAGGGATAATGTATTTGTATATTCAAATTTTTGATTGTACATACATGTACAGGGTGACTGGTGAATTACTATCGATACTTGAGGACGTGATATTTGACGATCATATATGACAAAATAAAAATTAATATAACATAAATATTAATAAACTTCTGAGTAAAGTTAACCAAAAGTTATGTAATTAATTACGCATCGAGTGAACACCCTACAGATTAGGTATACACACACATTCACACATACGCGTGCGGCGGCGTGGTGTTGTATCAGCACGCCGCCGCACGCGTCCACACATGGAACACTTGGAACGTGTCAACACTTTATTTATTTATACGGAAATTTTGTCAAAAATTAATGCCTATTTTTTTTACATAATTCGAATCAGAATCATGTACCGAGTATTCTCCTTTAATATTGATAGTAATTCACCAGTCACCCTGTACATGTACACTGTACATATACACTGTATACATAAAAAATATTATAAAGCTGAAGAGTTTGTTTATTTGTTTGTTTGTTTGAAAGCGCTAATCTCCGAAACTACTGGTTCGAATTGAATAATTCTTTTTGTGTTGGATAGTCCAGTTATCGAGGAAGGCTGTGAGCTATATAACATCACGCTACGACCAATAGGAGCAAAGATATAGTGGTAAATATGTAAAAAACGGGAGAAATTATTTCATCTTTGAAGCCTTCCGTTGCGTGCGCCGTGAAAACCGTTCAAGATACACAAAAAATATGTATTAAAGAATAATGGCTCTTTTATTGATCTAAAAAACAGTCGGCGACAGTGTATGTCTATTTTTTAAGATTAACTCACAAAAACCGTTTTTATGGTACCTAATTTTGTCGAAATAATTTGTTTAAGTTGTATCAAAATAATAATATTAATCTTTATTCATATAAACAAATAAATATGTTGTTGGTTAAGAGTACTTCATTATTAATAAAAAAAACATAGGTTTTATCCTGAAAACTCTACGGGAACTATGTGGGAAGAACCAAAAATCTGTCGGAAGTAACTATTCCACGCGGACGAAGCCGTGGCAAAAGCTAGTATACATATATTAGTGTGGTTAAAGTGTTTGTTTAAAAAATAATGTGTGTGTAATACATACACTTGTGTGCAGTTAATAAGAACACAAAAAATTAGGTCTTATAGCTCATAGATAACTCCCATAACTATGAGACTACATTTTTAAGAATATATCGCATAACACTCACTATTATCAACACAACAATTTTTACTTTGACAGCCTGACAAGTTTTGACAATATATAAAAATAAACCTATAAATATATATTGTTTTTTATTGTAAAATCTCGCAGGGGAAGTCCGTAATCGACTTCTGGGTAGCACGGTGGCCCTTCAGGATAAATTACTGAATATTCTGAACACTGAGAGCGATACGGAACCAGTTAGAAACATGTTGGCCGATACTCTCGACTGCTTTATAGGGGTCACTGAAGGCGTTCTTGAGGTAGGTCTTGACTACAATGCTCAAAATACTGTAAATACTATAAATAAACATTTGTGTATATACTTTAAAACATTTTAATGCGGTTCAAAAACTTCCTATTTCATTATAGTTGTAATTTTTATCTTTAAAGCAATTAATGCATCATTTCCGAGAAAATAATCTTATGATTACGTCTATAATTTTATACGATAGTGTACTTGAGATAGTTATTTATTTAAATAATTCATATAAAGTGGTTCAAGGAAACAAATTATTCTGAAATTATCATAAAGAACATATATTTATTATCCTCCATATAAATTATTTTATAACGTGACAATTAATATTTTCCAGGTGGGCACAATGGACGAACAGTTTATAATGTTGATGGGTGCCCTTGATAAAGTCCCGGGTATAGTTTTCCGATACCACAACTACCCGGGCGTGGTTTTGCCCGCACTCACATTATTAGCGAAATCAGCCAAGAGAATGCTGCACTCAGTACAGCCTCAGAACGTCAACAAGTATGGATATCATATATATTATATAAGTATACACTTAATAACGATAATAAATAAAATAATAACAAACATTTGCCCAGCAACCATATAAATGTTAGTAGGTTATTAATAATTTCATATTTTTTTGTTTTATTCATTGTCGAATTGAAAAAATAAGTAATAAATGGGTATGTGAGTTTAAATATATTATATATACATATTAATATTTTTATTACCATAAAAATGTTAATTAACACAATTACGTTGCGACTTATTTAAAGTCTCATTATACATTTTTCATGGCCTTAATGATGTTAAATTATAGTAATTTAGACTTTTATTTTATTTTAAAAAGAAATACAAAGACTTTATGAAAAACAAATTTTATGCAAGTCGGGACGCATAAGTGAGAAAAATATAAACTAAACTCATTAGCACCGTTACGCGTTACGTTACGAAGCGGTTTACTCTCTCTCTTAAGAGGTTAAAAACTGGTGTAATCATATTCATTTATTTTCAGGTTTCTTGAAGTTTGTAACGCCACGTTCGAAGTATACACGAGGTGGAATTCCGGTAAAATATCAAGTATCCCTCAAGATGCAGAGGAAGAAGCATATGAGGTAATATTTTAAATAACAATTAAAGTATTTATTGTCTCTAGATGCAGTGATTCATTTAGAAACTTAATAATAATTATACTAAAACCTGAAACCATGCATAATTTTTGAAGTAAACTTCTAATGCGACTTCTAACAAGGTTGCGTTAAATGTTCAACGCTTCTGGCTAGAGGGAATAGAAAGAGACGGAGCGAGAGTAAATGAGGGCGTCACTTGTGTATTGTAAACAATGTTTATAAAGTTTGTCTTAAAGAGACAATATAAATTCACTATAAATTGATTTCTTCCCCTTGCTGTTATTATTTCCGCGGCAAAGTCTCACTTTTCCCGTCCACATAGGCCTCAAGCACAATTTTTTGTATTATTTTGGATATCTGTCAAATACAGGAGAAAAGTTTATTTGTTATGAATTATAATTCTAATGTTATGCAAACAGTATATATATATATATATATATATATATATATATATATATATATATATATATATAATATATCCCTCTAGCCAGAAGCGTTATATATATATATATATATATATATATATATATATATATATATATTAATAAATTTTATATACAGTAACAAATGTAAAATAATAATAATAGTAACTTTATTTAAAAGATAATACGTCAATTTAATTTACGTCACACCCAGGATTATATCGACAACAGAAATTTCACTGATCTAGTAAAATTCTTTCATGATTTCTTAATAACAAAACAAATGTGAAAGAGCCTTACAAAACTTTACTTTACTGATATTGGGGTTTCATAGTGCTTCTTTGGATGATTTTCTGCTGGCTTGTTAATTAAACCTTTGGCGTAACTAGCAATTGCTTACCTTCAGCCAGTAGTATATGCTTGACACTGGAAGCCCTACTTTAGCGATTTGTTAGATGTTTTCGCATCCTACGAGTGAGAATTTTTGTTTGTTACATGCTACTTCCATCAGTACAGTAATTAACATCTTTGATTAATTTCAATATTTCGTTTGATTAAATGCAATATTTAAATTTCTAGCACTATTGGTCCTTTTATTGTGTAGAATACTCTAAAAGAGTTTAAGGCTTGCAACAGAGTAAAATTTAAGTCTTCGAAACGCTCTATATGTAGCATTGTTTGTATCGTTGCTATAGGAAAGTCGACTATTGCTGTTTTTTTTCTCAGATTTCGTTTAAACTCTTCTTAGTTGGGATGGGCGGTTATTCCAAATCTATGTAGGGTTTTAAAACTCGTAGACTATAGGTTAATGTGGCTTTCTCTTGTGATTTTTTGATATTACTTTATTGAGGTTTGTAAAGAATTAAAGTTCAAGTTCACCGGAGTTTTGAAAAAAAAAAGAAAAAAAAACTTTCTATATATTTAAAAGTTCTTATATGTCGGATAACTTTCCTGCTCTTAAAAATTTGAGTCAATCGTAGTACTTATTGTGAAAATTAAAAAAGTCCAAGATTACTAGGGCATCGTATTGATATCACTAAATACTAAGAATATACTGCGCCCGTCTTTTTGCCACTTCCGTTTCACGACAGTAGAAACTCCATTGTTTGTGTATAAACCACATATTTTGCTTGGAATTACGTCCAAATTGTTCATAATCAATGATATCTACATAATTTTTCATGTTTATAGGATATTTGCGCTCTGATGGAAGTCATTAGCAGTATATCTCGTTGCGGTGGTGGCGGGTCGTGGGGCGGCTCGTGTGCGAGAGGCCTGCGTTTAATACTGCCGATGTTGGCGCCACCACTACTAGCTATGCCAACACTGGCACATAAGGCGTATCGAATGTTGAGAGATCTAGACCACGCTGATCAGGTACGTGGAATATAATTTGTCCTAAGAGATATTGTTTATGATTGTCATTCAACCCAAAAATACTATAACAGTGGTAATATATTATAAATAAACTAGAAGACCCGGCGAACTTCGTGTCGCCCTATAATCAAAAAATATCTGTTACGTTTTTTTATTTATATTTTTGGATTTTATCTATTAAAGCCATAAATCTCCGTGTCTTGAAGTGCGACAGAATGATTGACATATTAGTTAGTTGTCAAATCTAATGTCAAAAAAAACGTTTGTATCAACACATTCCCAGATCCCCTTGAGCACACACAAAAAATTTCATAAAAATCGGTCCAGTTGTTTTAGAGAAGTTCAGTGACATACACACTCACAGAAGAATTATATATACAAAGATAGTTAGAATTAAAAAATAGGAATTGCTTAGAAACCTATTTTAAATAAGTAGTTATAGTAAAACAAAACTAATATGATATTATATTTCCAGTTGACTAATCTTCCAATCGAGGACTTCAACATGGTAATAGCGGCTCTACGAGTTGGTCTTACCGCCGTGTCATGCGATGTTTCAACACTATGCTGCGACACAATCGTAGGGCTGTCCAATAGAGTACGAACCCTCGGCGATGACAACCCTTACGCCATATCATTATTATCATTAGCGGAATTACTATTAATGTTAATTATAAAGATGGAAATACCACCCGATTCAATACCGGCGGCTGGCGCGGCTATATACGCGTTGACTTGCGTGAAACCGGCTTTATTAGAAGGACTTGCGAGACAGCTGATCGAGGCGTTTGCGGTTAACGACCCCGCCAATGTTCCTAGATTAGAAGAATCCTTTGGTGTACTCACTAACGGAGTGCTCTTTGACGGCTTGAGAACACACAAGCTACGATTTCAAGACAACTTCGATAAATTCTTAGCTAGTGTACATGGTTTTCTTATTGTTAAGTAATTATTATTTTTTTCTTCTATATGTAAGGATCTATTTAATGTATTTCGACTAGTCACTTGACCGCGGAGGTTCACTCGGCGGTAGACTTGTTAACGTTGTAAATTAAATGTATGATTGACTTGAATGCTGTCTTATGATAAGCGAGCGATATGTCCTTCCATGGGGCTGTGGTATAGAATTAAATATATATAAATAAATGTTTATGTATTTGACGAAATATGTCCACACTATAAACTAAATTTAACAATTCGTTTCTTGTATCGTGATGTGGCCTATATTGATCAGGGTGCGTGTGACTTCAAATGACTATCCTTATGATATTATTCTATCCTCTTAAAAATTATAAGCGTTTATTGAGAATTTGGGATGTTCACAACGAAATTTTAAAAGAATATATTTTAGTCTTTAAGGTTGTGAAGGCGAATGTACTTTTAAAAAAAAATTTAAGTACTTTTTCATAAATAAAATACACTATGTAGTTAGAAAATTGTAATTAAATTGTTTCATGCTACATGAAATATTTCCAACATGTGTAACAAGTAAGTTTTTTGAAATATCCGTAAATTAGAAATGACTATTTACTATTAAATAAAATAGTATGATTAAATTAGTCTCTTATGCCATTGCATTCTATTTAATTAATTTGCAACACTCAAATATGCATAACTAATTGGAAACTCGGCAATTTTAGCGACCTGATTACGTAATTTTTCTCATTATAACATGCATTTTCTTCTGAAATAATTGAATACTCCGTTATAGTATAAGAAAAAATGTTCTAGTAAATAAGTAAGCAAAAGTTGTCAACGTCTAAACCACTAAAGGTATGCATAAAAAAATTATTTGGTCATATTAATATTTTTCGAAATTTATTTGACTTTGATGATATGATTACATCCTAGTATATAAGTATTTTTTTATATTTTTGAATTTTTCTACACGACAAGTGTAAGCTATAACAAGTATTTTAGTTCATTTAATCTTATTTGTGATGGTAAAAATGCCTTTAGATTTTTTCATAATTTAATTTAACAATAAAAATTTGGGTCAGAACATTTTAAGTTATATGTAAATAAATATTTATTAAAATACTTTTAAAGCTGTCATAATATCGTTTCGGCTAATTTATAATGTAGAAATTTGACAACTCGTTTAAAAGAATGTTTCCATTTAAAATATGTTGTAAATATTATAAAGTAAAATGTTTTTTTCCGCAGAGACATTGAAATTTCAGAATCTTATTAAATGTACAAAATTTTTTATTCTATTCATTGTTTTATTTGAAGAATTTTTTTTTATTTGTTACAAAAAATATTTTTACAACGCAGTCTTAGGAAAAAGTAATGCATTTTGAAAATTCCGTACACCAATAATTTTAGATGATGATAGATGAAATATAGTGCACACCATAGGTACAAATAAGCACTGTTTAACGTGCCCATACAACGACTAAACCTTCATTGTTTAATTATTACTTACATAATTTAAATCATACGTGCCGAAATATGAATGTTTACAGACATGTGTCATTTGATTCATGATTTGGTAAAATTGTTTAAAGTGCCATCTATCAATGTAAAAACTATCATTATCGAACTTTCTTATTAGCGCCTCTTTCCAGCCAAAGCGGCCGTATGCACAACTACTCGGTGCGTATATTCCATACAAATGATCTCAACTACGATCTACAAATCACATGACATATGCAGGAATTTGTATGTGTGAAGTGCAAAAACTATGCATGTGTTAGTGTTCAAGACTGCTTCCTTAACCCTATTCGTTTAAAAAGTCATAGAAACTGACAAACGAAAAGGGACTATTTAATTTGTTGGTATGGTGTTCTAATATATTTTTTTTCGCCATTTTGTTACTGTCTTTTTAAGTGCAAGGCAAGTTTTAATTATTTATTGAGTGAATTTATTAACGAATTGTGGAAAATTATAGTTTTGAGCTCTATACTGATGTGTGTTTGCCAAAGTTAATAATGAGTACATTTTCAACTGTTTTATTATTTTTGAATTCGCCGTAATCTTTTGTTGCTGTTTGATAAAAAAAATTAAAATAGAAGGTGTGTGTAGATTGCACTAAAAAGAAGGTAATGTTACTCATTTAACGATTTCATAAAAATTATTATGATAATTTAATTGGCTAACAGGGTGTGTACACAAAAAGATATTTTGTTTTATTTGTTTGTGGTTTTCAAATAATAATAATGTTTGGATCTCCTCTGGATTTTCCGATTTAAATAACTTTTATAAAGCAACGATGAACGGATCCTAATAATTTTAAGCTACTTTCGTAGCTCAGAGGTAGTTGATAGATTTATAAAATATATAGATGTTAGTTCTGATGGGACTGCTGTAACTTTATGCGCGAATATTAGGTTTCAGTGTTCAAACGAAACTCATACTTTCTGATTACTACGCGTATTTAATTATTTCTAAAAAACTACATACTACATACTCCCGACGTTTCGGTTACATTGCAGGAACCGAGATCACGGGCAGATGCAAATACGGGTAGTAATCCGAAAATATTAGTTTCATTTTAATGAATACTCGTGAAAGTCTTAGATCTCATTATTATCAATGTTAATGAAGAATTTATGATGATTTTTTTTAACATATTCTGCTTACATTGGCCTAGATCTCTGTGCACACCCCTGGACAAACACATTATCGAAAACAATTCTTATAATTAAATCCATAAATGCTCCATAAGTTACGACAAAAAGTGTAATTTGACTTGAGGTTTGAAGCCTATAACATTCGCTCTATAGTTGTATTTTTGTAAGCATTCAAATTTCCCTTTCTAACTTTTTCCTCACCAAAGTAACTTAACCGATTAGGAAACAAATTTTTTTCGCTGGGTGGCAACTAGATGTGAGATTGGGGAATATTTTTGTCACTTCCGTAACCAGTAGGATGACTACAATTTCACATTATTTTGTTTAAAACACATTTTGTCCTCGCTATTTTGGGCTTGAAATAGCTGATCGTTTATTTATGGTGCAGACGACTTTCAATCTTATTGATATTATACATTTGCTTTCGTGTTTTGATTGTATATTACTTAAAAACAAGCCTGTATGCCTTTACCACTAACGAGTATCATAACAACATATTATTCCGTTTTACAAGATTTTTTGAATAATTACGTTCACTAAATATATACGCTTCTCCTTTTAAATTACTTTTGATATAGGTATGTATTGGAAAATAATGCGGAATAAATAGTCGATGTACGCATATCGATTAGCTTCATTATTTTTTCTATTGATATTTTGAAATATAAATCTCGAAAAAGTATACATAGTATTCACGAGGAATTTCATAAAAGCTGCATAGACAACACAAAATGTTTGCTAAACGTAAACAACTCTTCGTTGTCAACAATGACATTCGGTCAGTATGACAGATATTTTTCCATTTAAATAATCACTAATTTCTTGTTTATTTTATTTTTCATAAATCTCAAATCATAGTAATGAGTGTATCGGACCAAAGTCCATCATTTAATTCCTCCCAGTCGATAACCGACGACAACAAAATGGAAACGAATAATACTCGACTCTACATTAAGGAAATGCTGAAGTCTAAGATATTTTTGGGGCGCTATCTGGAAAGACGGCTTATAGACGAAAGTATTGGCTACCGAGATGTTGTTCTTTTGAGTGCAGCTGAGGTGGAATTAAAAAGACAACTGCTGGAGGTCAGACAAATGCTTCTATCTGCATATCCAAGCAATCATTGGATCGGCATTGTTGAATCTGAAACCTTAGGATATCCTTCAGGTGTGTGTCTGTTAACAGAAATAGATAACGAGCCGCTTGGACCTTTTTGGTTTCAAATTAGAAATGTAAAATTTCGGGTTTCAGAAATTATTGTAAATCTAATCTGTCTAAGGCACATCACAGATAGCTTTTTAGAAATTGAACCAATATTAACAGGAGGACATGAAAAATCAATATCGAAAATGTTAAATACACCTACTGCTATTAGTGAATCCAATCTAAATGAAACTTTTAGTGAAGTGATAATTAATGTTAAAAATGCCTTTACTTTGACTAATGTGAAAGAATTGTTAGCATTTATCTTTGCTCTCATTGTTGCCACATTTACCGGGGGTACAGCATTTATTAATTTTCTTGGTAATTTTATATTAGCATTTATTAGAGAAACATCTATATTGATCAAGAATTCAACCCCCATGTTTCTAGGTTTCTTAGATTTTCTAAGCAAAATTGTTGGTGGTTTCTATATTCTTGTGGCTATGTTTTTCAAGCCTAATAATCCAAAACCACCAAAAAGTAGAAGGAGCATTACTTATTACAATTCACGACCACAAAATTATGACTACAGAGATAGTTTTTAATCGTAAGGTTTTGATCGCATTTTTATGTAATTGCATTTGCAAAACCCACTATGTATTTATATTAATCATTATTAATTGATTTTATATACTCATAAAGCAAATACACACCCACTGTATTTATGTTGTTATAAACAAAGGGGAAATAAATTATTTTATATTATTTGTGATGTGTAAAGTTTTGAAATATGTTGAATATTTATTGTTGTTACTTAAATGGTAAGGTTTTTTAATATTTTTAAATGATTAAGTGTTTAATAATCTTAAAACACTCATGTTATTTTAAGATTTATTTAATACCAGAAATAAATAACCTATTGATAAAACTGTGGCTTATTTTTCCAAAGGCACTATGATTACTGTGTTCTTGGTATCTGAAATTAAATAAATTCTTATATTTATAAGAATGTCACGTTTCCATAATCAATATTAAATAAATAGCAAACCTCTTGTAAATTTTCTGCTTTTATTCAAGGACCTTGTTGGCTCCCAGCCTGAAACTAAAAAAACATTATTTATGCAAATAATAATAAAAATAAAAAAAATTATTAACTATATTTACTTTTTCTCTTGTTTTTGTGTTTATTTGGAGAAATACCAAGACTAGATTTCGCCTTATCACCTTTGATAAATATCTTTTTAGGAGGTATTTGAATTATTTCATTTTTCATTTCAACTGGCTGTAATATAAATCGCCATCAAAAAAAATATTATTCACAAGATTTGGTTTAAAAGTATAAGATATGATGATACCTCGGTTGATGTATCAGTAAGAACAATAGCCTTTTTCGTTTCATCATTCTGTTGAATAATTTTCTTCACAACAATGTTATTTAGAATATTTGTAATGACAATATTCAATTGACTGTCATCATATTCAACAAGAATTTGTTTGATAAGAGTAAATAGAGCGGGAAGATTTTCCAATAGCTCTTTTTTGCCATAATCATAACAACTGTAATCTTTTAATGTATCAAGATTCATCAGGACTTCATCTTTAATCATATATTGGCGATATTGCATTAAATCACATATAGTTCTTTTACCTATACCTAAAAATGTTAATAAAAATAATAAATTTGCAATGATTTCTTTAGTACAAGCTTTACAAATCCTTTTACCTACTTCTTAATAAAGTGAGATATCCCCATTTTTAAAAGATTTAATAAGTGTAAACTGGTGTTATCTTTGGTCGTCTTATTTTATTTGTTTTTGCCTGAATCTGACTATTATTGTACAGGCTAAATGTATTTTGTGCTCTGGTAATTAATTTCTTCTGGTCATTACCTTCATATATTGATTTGGTGAAGTATGTTAAAGCCATGTTTTTGATAAATGTCGGTTTTAATAAATTCAATGTTGAATTCAATGTATCTAGTGTATCAACTTCTAGTACTGCAGATCTCTTTCTTAAAACCTTTCGTATGTCGTTGGATATTTTTGAACTGTAGTTCAAATATCTTCTGCCTTCTTCTATCTCTGCGAGTTTGTAAACAAAATTTGCTGCAAGATTCTAAAAAGCAATATTATTATAGGTTAATGTAAAATAATAATACTAATAAGTAATGCAACTTGTAGGTATTGTAAAAGCTGACCTGTGTGACAAAGTCTCCATAACTTTTATATTTACATGGCCATGATATGCATGTGATAATTATTGAGTGCTCATCAAAAATACTACATATATCTGCATGAGTGCAACCTTGTGCTATCTCTACTTTTTCTTTGGGCTTGCAATCTATAAGACCCTTTAAAATTTATATTTATGTTAATAAATGTATAACAGTTAACAAAAAACATTCCTGTTAAATTCCTTATTACTCACTTCATTCAAAAATATAAGGGCATTTTTTGTATAATCACCACCCATGTACAGGAATTTTTTTAATATCTTCATATTTTTAATAATTTCCCCAATACAACTTGTTGTATATTTTGTAACTTCATTAAATTGCATAATGAAGTCATTATAGGTTGGGTGATTTAAGCAGTGGCACTTTCTTGTTAATCTTTTATATATGGAGCAATCATCAATATCATCCTATACAATAAGTAATAAGGATCATTAATAAGGACTTTAACATACACATGGTATATTAAATATATATTTAATTGGAGCATTAAGTCTTACATCTATAAGAATAGCATCTAGCTGTTTAGTATTTTTTTCTAAATTTCTTAAAGCTGTTGAATCAACAACTTCAATAACATCATGATCCTGTTAACAAAAGTTTACATCCAAAAATGAGTAGATGAAAAATATTATTTTTAATAAACAATATAACAATTTATTACATAGGTATTTGGAATTGGTCTAACTGAATTAGTTATTCTGGAACATGCATTTGAAATATCACATACAACATTTCTTGAATGTGTTTTAGCTTGAATCTCTTCAAGTAAATTTAATAATTGCTTTGTACTATTTTTCAATTTAACAAGCGAGTCCTGTAAATTATATTAAAGGAATATATTAAAGTACATAAAAGACAAACTACATGGTCTAGTTACATCATAATTTATCAATCTTTTTTAATTACTCTTACCACTTTAATATGACAGAGTGCTTCTGCAGAACTTAAACAGTCTTCACAAACATCTGAATTAGACATTGTCTTATTCAAATTATTATTATGATATGGCCTTACTTAATGTATGATTACAGAAATAAATAAAATATTTTTATTAATAGAAATTTCCTGGATAATAAATTATTTCTCTTCTTAGATTTCATTTTATTGTTTAACCATTTACTGAAAATAAATATAATCGACACATTTTGAATTTTGTGCCAATATTTGGTGTCTTTTTTGACACTTAGAGAATCTCATTTCACGTCAATGACCTTTTTCCATTAAGAATGATGGATACATTTAAAAACTCTTTTTGTATTTTTTTTAACAATAAATGAATTTCATAAAACATATTGTATTAGATTACTAAAAATTTTAAAATTCACTATATCGTGTTAAATTTAAGCTTTAGCTACTCTGTAATCTGTATGAATAGTTAAAAAAATCTAATGTTTGACAGTAGCTGAGCATTGTTTATATGAATCCTAAAACACATAAGTTTTTAAATTAAGGCATTAAATATCAATGATTTTCAGACACTACCTTTTTACAGTAATGTATGATAACTCGTTAATTGTTTAAATTGAAATTTTATAAAATTTGCCTCAGGTTTTAAAAATGAATACGTTTAAAAATAAAATTAACTATGAAAGCCCTTGTGATTCTGATAACGACTGGACCAATTCATCAGATGACTCAAAATATTCTGAATCTGAGAGGTACTTATATTTGCAGTTACATGTTAGAATAGAAGTATGTTATAATGAGTATTAGTAGTTCAGTTCCAGATTGGGATTCCGATATAGCTGAAGATGGAGAACTTATTTATATTAAATCCAAGTCGAACGACGACAATTCAGAGATTTCTAAGGCACCATTGCTTGAAAATTGTGAGACTTTTAAATTACGAAATGACTTTAAAAGGTCATCAACCAGGCGGTCGAAAGGTTTGTAAACAAAAAGAATTAGTTGGTTTCTTATAAGACGTAAAATAAAATCTAATTTTTAATTTATTTTAGGAAAAATTTTCCGAGTTCTGAAGAGTCGAAAAATTAGAAACAAAAATGCTGGTAATGAAAAGAAAAACGATATAGGGGACAATAATAAATTTATTATTGTGCAGGTGAGACTCAATAAAAGTACTATTGAAATACCTACATATATATTTGTGAAGATTAATTGCAATCTTTTGAACATTTCCAGGTCAGCAAGAATATGATATTCAGTAGCGAGAAAAATTGTCAAATAGAAAAATTATTTGGTATTAGTTTAGAAACACATGCCGATGGAAAAACATTAGTTGTGTCTGATTTTTTACCAGAAGCAAAGGCTATATATACATCAAAGGTCAAAACTGGTTATTATTTACAAAAAATCAATGGAATTGATGTAACTTCTCACAACATAAATAATGTTCTCCAGAGAGTTAAAGAAGATGTAGACAATCCAAAACTTTTATTTCAAGCTGTAACTCAAGGCTTTAATATAGATATTGAAAAATTGCTTCTGAGTAAAAATGCTCAAGAAAATTCTCTTACTCAGTTGCTGAGAGACTCAATGTGTTCTATTTTGTATGTATGTGGAAATGATGTTGACTACCAAAGTAATGATGACAATGTTCTCTATTGTTACCCAAGACCATTTAACCAGAACTTTTTATATAATACAAGAGGTGCTTATTTAACACTTAATCATTTGGCACCAAAATCTTTAGGAACCAGTGAACCAGTCCTATCTTCAGTATTACATAAGAATATTTTAATAAACATAGCATATGCTTCACATTACAGTGATCTACTGCTTGTAGCATTACCTAATAGTGCTATTGATGTTTTTGCTGCTAAGAGAGTTATTACTGATATTATAAGATTGTTAGAATTCTTGTATGGCTCTCTTAAAATATGTTTTACAAAACCAAATAATGTAGATAAATTGGACAGTTTGTTTTCAAGGATATTTATTATTTTACTAATGGGAAATAAAGACAGTTCTAAAGTTAACAATTACATATATACAGAAGCACATGCTGTATCACTTCCTTTGGATGTAAAAATCCAAGTAGATGATGCTATTACTGAATTAGAGGCAGCTGATTATAGAGAATGGGTATGAAGAAATATTATTTTCTAAATATGTATACCTATAATATGTATAAAACTATATTGGTGATGCTTTTTTACAGACAGACAATGTTGAAAACTTCCAACGTTTGTACACTGTAATTGGATCCTGTTTATACTATTCTGGTCACCTATTAAGCTCACACTTACAGGATGAAGATTTAAAGGAAATCAATGCATATTTAAAGTTAAATGGCATTATGAAATTGAGTTCAGAAAAAGAGTTAGGGAAACTTGTTATGTGGAAAGAAGTTTTTATTAATGAAAGTAGGAAACAGAACAAAAATGATGGCAATGAATACAGGTTAATTCTAATTTTAATAGAGAAATAGTAATTGCAAAATGTAATTATCTTTTAATCTTGAACAAGGCTTAAGCCATAATGCCCGTAAATTTTATAAAAGTGTTGCCATATTAAATATTCCACAGGGATATACAGTGTTCTTATATTCAATGATATATTTTGATTTTAAAACTTTTATATAACAAGAGATCCTAATATAAACCACATATTTCTTTAGAATTCCAGATGGCAGATGGTTTATTCTGATAGTGGGGAAAGGTCACTTTATTTTGGCAACACTGATGGAAGCAGGTGGTTGTACTGAGGATGTAAGCTACATTCAAATAAAGTCTTAGTAATCCATTTATACATTACGTACAATATTTATTCACATCTTTTTTATTTTATTTTTTAATAGAAAAATTACAGTTCCAAAATATCTGTTCATTTAAAATAAGATGAACTCAATAATATTAAATTAAGCATTAAATGAGTTGATTATATGCATAAAGTTATAGGGAAAATTTGTAATTTTTAAGTTTAAAAAGTTCTCCAATTATATTTTTTTATGAACCAAATTAAGAAGTGTATACAAACAAAGTGGTGGTGAAAAACTAGTTCATATATCAATATTAAATGTAATTTTGATAATTTTATATCCATTTTTCATTGAAGACTAAATCAATATCGAATTTTTTATTTTTTCCTAAAATGACGGTAATATATTTTATTGCAAAAAAAACTAATTAAATTTTCAGGCCATAGGGGTGATTCCACCTTCCGCGTTTTATGTCGAAGAATGTGAAAGTTGTCTAGAACTGTTGTTTGAAGTTGGATTAGACAAGTATCTGCCATCGTGGTTTGCTTCCAACACGCAACCACAGGTTGAAATCTGTCCAGAAAATCTTACTAAACAAGGGAAGAGAAACCGTGAAGTGGGATGTATGTAGTACATAATTGTAGTTCATTTGTTCATATAGTAATTCATAATATTTTGACTTGCAGATTAAAAAAAGAATATTTATTTGAATTAAATATTGAATTTTATTATGTATTTTCAAAAAGTTTATACAGATATATATTGACATGATTATTTTTCTGATTTCAGCTTCAAAACTGGACATCAAGAATAGTTTTAAGACAAAAAACATGGAAATAAAACGTAGGAACAATTCAACTGAATTAAAAACAGGTTCAGCAGATAATATTCACTCACAAAGTTTGTATGGTCAATGGTATAATACACAGAAGTACAGACATTCCAGTTTAGATGTAACTTATTCAGAAGATTCTGGAAGTTTAAAGAGTAACAGGTAGCTCTTTAAATATAATGACAATACTTAATTAATATATCACTTGATACAATTTCTTCCTTTTTATTCACTGTCTGATTTTAAGTTTAAAACATTTCTAATTAAATATAATATAGTACACATTTGTATCAAATAACAATTATTGATAGAAAATTGTTCATCTCAACCATGTTTCTAATGAATAGAATGATCTTTCAAAGTGTATTATTAATAAATATTATATTTTTATGCTTCAGTGAAATAAGCGAGGATCGCGTCATTGGTAGACGAGCTGACAGAGAACAAATGAATAGAAGAGATTCATCAGGTTCAGATTCTGATTGGGACAAACAGGTTTATATAATAAAATTATATTAAATACAAAATAAATAAAAATTTTATAACTTTATGTCATAGTACCAGTATTAAAATTTATATATTATACATTTTTTACATCAATTTGTTTAGGATTGTAGCAGATCAAGCAATATAGAAATTTCAGATATTCGTAAATCTTTACTTGATGGCCTCAACAACCATATCACAGTTCACAGGTATATAATCGTGTTTATAAACAATTTTTTACTCTGTACATATAATTATATCGGATTTTTATAATTTTTAGATTAACAGCTGGTGATGAGAATGTTTTATTTCACTTCATGAACTTGGAATCTGAAAAGGGTATATTGATAGCTCCGGTTAACAATATAGGTGAACAAGCAAACAGCCTACTGTATTCATATATAGTACAGACATTTAAAAAATCATTTAAGAAAATTCATGATTTACTGCAACACAATGTTAGGTGAGTTCGTCTCATATTTTTATATAAGTATATGATGGTATACAGGGGGACTGGTGAATTACTATCGATACTTGAGGACGTGATATTTGACGATCATATATGACAAAATAAAAATTAATATAACATAAATATTAATAAACTTCTAAGTAAAGTTAACCAAAAGTTATGTTATTAATTACGCATCGTGTGAACACCCTACAGATTAGGTGTACACACACACTCATACATACGCGTGCGACGGCGTGGTGTTGTATCAGCACGCCGCCGCACGCGTCCACACTTGGAACACTTGGAACGTGTCAACACTTTATTTATTTATACGGAAATTTTGTCAAAAATTAAGTACCTATTTTTTTTACATAATTCGAATGAGAATCATGTACCGAGTATTCTCCTTAAATATTGATAGTAATTCACCAGTCACCCTGTATATAATTACGACGGTCCATTAAAATAATGGTAATTTTGACGTCGTTAACTGGTAAAAATCCATACAATTGTATCAATTTCTTTTTATCAAAATATGTAATTGTCATATACTTAAAATAATAATTATTTTGGGGTCATGTAAACAGTCTATTTAAATTGAAACTATATGGATACTATAAGGTTGGTTATATTTGTATATTTAACTAAGATATACATTTTAGTTACATCAAAATTTTCTATTTAGTTTTGTAGACTTTTTCTTTTCAATTTTTTATTGCTATTTATTTACACAAGAATAGTTTAAGAAAAAACTTTTTTTTGAGCCAGTAAAGATCCTAAATGAAAGAATAAAAAGTATGCTCCAAGTGCAATAGTTTATTTAGATAAGAACAAGTTTTTTTTTACAGGTTTAAAAAAAGTCAGATACCCTCAAATAATCTGAATAAGATTCTGGTTGCTGTAAAAGAGTATGGAATGCTTTTTGATGTGCCACAAGATGTGCTAGTACAGTGTGGTATTAGTAAGAAAAATTGTGGACCATTCCAATTTTGGGTTGTCGGGTAAGAGCAAAAGCAAATTAATAAGAATAAAAAGTGTAAAAAAAAAGGTTTGCTTTGTGGTTTCAATTGATATTATACAAGAAATATTTGTTTTAAGTAAACTGTTGTTTACGTGATATTAGTAATGTTCAAGATCATGATACTATGTTTATAACATAATTTTAATAAAGAAAATAATTCCAAAATAATGACAATCATCCTTATAATAGATGTAATAAGGATATAATTTAAATATTTTAATCGTTTTTCAGGCGTGTATTCAGTGAGCCAGAGCCTCGCGAGCTGTATGTTTGTTATCATGAGTCCATTCCACAAGACCTCACCGACATAGCTTATTTATTATCATACTTAGAATAGATTGATTAAAATAATTTATAAGTGCAAAACAATATTAGCAATTAAGCTTGAATCCGTCCAATGTTTACTGTATTAATAAAAATTTCTGCGTATTTTTTATACCCATTTTATACATTATACAATGTAATAAACAAATAAAATAGTTTACTTTTTTGCTTTTGCTTTCAGTTGAAAAAAAAAACAATGATATTTATAATCAGAGCAGGTGATTAGTAAGAGAATTTAATGTGAATTCAAGAAGGACTTTTTAATTCTTTTAAATTTGAAATTCATCAATATAATAGAAAAAGTAATATATCTACATAGTAATTTTAATCTGATATAATTACAACAAAAATTTCTTAAATCCTTTTTTGAATAGTACCTATCTCTAGAATAGCATCTTTTATATCCATTAACATACCTTCCTTTCTTCCTTTTGTTTTATAACTTACTGTCTTTAGAGGCTTTTACATTAAAATTCTCTATATTAAATATTAGGTGAGAAATGAAGAAATTAATAAAGAGTAAAAGGAACAGGAAAGCAAAATATAAAGACGATTCTACCAACTTAATCAGCTCGATTAATGACGAGGGATTTGCTACCGGAAATCATTAAATAAATTGAAGTCTTTTATATGAATATAAATAAAAATATTGATATCTTTCATTTAAAATAAACATTAAAATGATTTTTAAAATTTTTCTCATGCTTAATTTTTATATTAAAGCTACTTATTGCCAATCTTTTGTAAAAAAAGTATTTATATATTTTATTAAAAGGAAGCATAGACAATTATAAAATTATGTACTTCCGTTTATTCTTCCAGCCGCTGTCTATTTTTTATGATTGGCAATTGATTTGGCATTGCTTACAAAGGAATCGCCTTTATTAGTTTCATTATTCCCCTGTGATTGTGGTTATTTGACATGGAACATTTCTAATACTAATACATATGGTAATAACTTTTAATAATTTAGTTTGGAGTGAATTTAATTTGCCGACGATATTGTTTAGCAATTGAAATATGATAACAAAAATGCAACCTCAAGCGAATGTTGCCGTGCCTCAATCTGTCACGACGCAGCCTCAACAAATTGTCAGCGTTCCTGCAAATGCTGTGATCTTGAAAATGTCGGAAATTCAACAGATATCTACAGTAGGTGAGTAAAATAGATTGTAATTACTTATTAATACAGTGTATGTGCTTTTTATTATAATTTGTAAGATATACGAAAATATATCAAAATGACGCCCGTTAGGACTCCTGGAGCTTGCACACCGGGAATATCAAGCTGGTGACTATGATAGTGCGGAACTGCATTGTATGCAGCTGTGGCGTCAAGATGGCACAAATACGGGTGTACTTTTGCTGCTGTCCTCCATACATTTTCAATGTCGGCGTTTAGACAAATCAGCACATTTTTCAACGCTTGCTATAAAACAGAATCCTCTCCTGGCGGAGGCGTACAGGTAATTCGTGATATAAATCTTTCTGATTATTCAATTCCTCGTATTCCTAGGAAAATTCTTATTTATATATATGTCTTGTAACTTGATATCCCTTAGTTGATCGTTTTAGGTAAAATATATAATTACTTCTCATTGTTCTTCTGTAATAATAAACATTTTGCAATTTAGTTTCAAATTACACATACCTATTATACTTTGTACAGGCATATGCTATAATAATTTGAACATGTTTTGCTTCATCTAAAACTATAATATATCAAGTTGAACATTTTGTTATAGTAATCTCGGAAATGTATACAAAGAGCGTGGGCAGTTGCAAGAGGCTTTGGAGAACTATCGTCATGCTGTCCGTCTAAAGCCAGATTTCATTGATGGCTACATCAACTTGGCAGCTGCCTTGGTGGCTGCAGGAGACATGGAACAGGCTGTACAGGCTTATGTTACGGCATTGCAGTATAATCCTGTGAGTACTTTAATTAAATATTCATACTAGCTGCACCCCTCGGTGTTACCCGCTGATTTCTGAGATTTCCGGGATGTAAAGTAGCCTATGTGTTATTCCTGGATGTCAGCTTCCTGTATACAAAATTTTATCAAAATCGGTTCAGCCATTTGAGTTTGAAGAAGTAACAAACATGCACACACACTCACAAACTTTCGCAATTATAATATTAGTAGGATATAGAAAATATCTGAATGGTAAGAATGGGAGGAAAAGTTTGGATGGGTTGTGTGAGACACGTGTTAAGTAGGTTTACTCAGATATTTAAATGAAATGAATAAATATTTAAATGAAAATTGAATGAGTGCTGTAGCAATTTTAATTTAAATAGACAAAAACATATGTGGACATAGTATAAAAATTAGTCTACTAGGCTGTATAAATATTGTAAAGGTGAAAATTTAACTTTTTTAGTTTTAATATTATTATCTTAAAAAGTATCATGACTTTAGCTGTATGTGTTAGTTTAATATAGATTAGATAAATTATGTAAAATGTTAATATGGAGATAAAAAGTTTATAAAGGATTATGGTTATCTCTACTTAAGAATAAGATTTTGCATTAAATTTCAGTCACCACTTTAAAGTATGCTTCTTCTATTGGGACTTATTGAAAAAAAATTGTGTTATTCCAAGCATATTTATAATATATATATAAATACTAAATATTTTCTAAAATAAATAAAAAAAATTAAACCTGCACTTGGGTCTCAAGTCCCAGGCACTGTTGAAGCTCCTCTCTCTGCAATGCAATGGACCCGATACCCGCATGGTGAATCCATTGAATGCTAAGAGGTTTTGTCTCTATTAGTTTCTGAGTGATTCAATAAATGCACATTATTAATAAAAAACACTAAATTCAAATCATTTTTAATAGGTTTTAAACAAAACCTAACAATAATTTTCAAGTAGTTTTTTATTTGGTTAAAATATAGTCTGGTTATTCTATTTATTGTTTCAAAATGATTTGTAAATTTAACAAAGGAAATATGTAATTAATAAATCTGAAAAATCGACTGTCTAATATGAAGATGAAATATTTATTTTTAATAATTGCTGTTTTGGAAGAAAATAAATATTTAGGAGTTTTAAATATTTTAGTATAAACTTTTATCATAGAAGTTATTTATTATTTTGTTGTGTTTCTTAAAGAAATAAGAACATTTGTTCATTCCAATTAAAGTATTTGGTATTGATACTAGAATTGATCTGACCATGAAATTATTTTATTATGTGTTTGATATGTGTTATCTCTGGTGTATTTTGTTTTCATTCTAACAATAGTAGTAGGTCTTCGGAACATTTTACTACAAAATACTTAATGAGAATAACTTATTACAATCATGTATTATGATGATAAATATAAACAAAATATACATGTATCTGTTATTTAAAATTAAATAATATTTTCAATATTAAATGACGTTATATAGATTACAATAATTAATTTTCCACTTAAAATTCATTACTTTGCACTTATTGTTCACAAGAGATCAGAATGTAAATTCCTCTTATAATATTTAAACTTTAACTTGGAAAAAGTATGGAATTTTATATAACGCGCGATAGCCTGTGTCCTATGAAATATGTCTTTTAATAACACATACTATAACAATAGCATACCGATAAAAATTCTCCATATTATAATAAAAATTTTATATGACTGACAAAATATCAAAACTTATTCAGCAAGATATTTTTTTTATATTTATTCATGAAGACGACTTAGTCGACTTTCGTTATAATAGTATTTTTAGCAGCGATAAATATTTATATGTACAGGAATAATGTACATAATTTACAATCTAAAAAAAAATTCCTACCATTAAATTGAGGAACCACATAATTGTGTATATATAATTAATATGTATTGTTTATAATTCGTATAATGAAATGATGGAACGAGTCAATGTTAAATTAGGTGGAAAAATACGTGCTACAGTGTTTATTGTCTCACACTGCTTTGGATTTGTCATTGTATGAATTGAATTACTTTTATATATTGTGACGTCAATATCTCGCGATAAAGCAATAATAATTTTTGGATCTGTAAATAAATATGTAATGATAACTTTAGATTTATCTTAACTTATTAATTTTTGGATGTAAAAACTTGAATACGTTCAAATTATCTATAGCGAACAACACATTCAGTGAAACTAATATTATTTTAGTGTTTTTTTTTTTGGAAATGAAATTATAGGTTAGATAAGTCACTTATTTAGGGTAAATCTCGATAAATATGGTTTGAAAAAATGTTATTCTCATGAATATGCATAATTGTTATGTCTTACGTATAAAAGTTTGATATTTTTCCGTTGTCTTCTTTATACATAACACGATTGAACATCCGGAAGGTTTCAATTTTCATAAAATATTTAAAACATATAATTGTATATATACTATATGTCTATATATAACCTTGACATATAAGATTGACTGATCGTCTATTGTTGCTATACATGATTAACATAAATTATTAATTAAAAACAGTCTGTTCTCTTCTCGTGTTGTTAATAAGAAAAAAATACGTATTAAAAAAATCGATATAATATAAAGATTCCTTTATTATTATTGTTATAAGTAATATTATTCTTCAGTTTTCTTCAGAACTTTATTCTAAATATATACGTACTATAAGACAACATCATACATTATATTGTGTGCTCAACACAATGTCTCTGCTGAAGGTCACCGTATTAATTTCCTTGTTCACAATAGGCCATTGTCGATGGTCCGCTGTGTTATGTAATTCGAATTAAACTATTACCGGATTTAACAAACATAATATGATATATATTATAATATAAATTGTTTTCATAGCCATAGCTTAGTTATGATAATGATCTCATTTACACAAACACTTAGCTCAATTCATATTAACATTAAATATATTATGTTAGAAGTAATTCTTATATCTACACTGATTATCTGAATTTGTTCAAACTAACGTAAGAAATAAAGTTGAATGGGTGGCGTTGTTTAATATTTTTACATTAAACTTTAAACAATTTAACGACGTCAATAATTTAAAATATTTACTGTCATATTTTTAAACATTTCTACATATTGTAGTTGCTGTGAAACCGTTCAAACCTTTTCTTTGTTGCCTTCTTTGGAATAAAAAGTTTCCTCTAAGAATATCTAAGAATTGCTTTGTATTATTTTATTGTAGTCATTTTGATTTTCAATCCCACCAGTGTTATAATTCCTATAATCTCTTTAAGCTAACTTACATTTTTCTAAAAGTATGTGTAGTTATTCTTCAAAGTATTGGGTTTAATTATAGCACCAACATAATATCTTTTATATTTTCCTACAATTAACACAATTATTTACGATAGAAATTAATTTATACTGTAGATAAAAATCGTATTATAGTCTGTTTGTGACGGTGCAAAATTTTGTTAAAATTTAGTATTGAATCGACATTATTACTGAACTGTAGGTGTTTCTTATTTATGTTAGTTCAAATTAAACATAACATTATTTTAAAAGGAAGCTGAACCTTGATTGATTACAAATATGACGAAGTTCTCAATATTCATGTTTATGATTTTGACTTTTGATTATCCCAGCCTATATATCAACCAAATTTGACAATATATTTCTATTGAAAATATAGTTAATAATAAATCCATTTAATAATATTATCAAATTATTTTAATATTTAATATAGAAAATATGTATAATGGTTCAACTTAAAACGGCTTTTCAAATGTAGCCGTCTGTAACTAATCTCTGTTCTCAACACAAATCCGTCTTATAATATTTAATTTTCCTAGAGGACAATTTTAGTTTATGAAAAGAGGTTAATGCATTCTTGCTTCTAGACTTTGATCCTTGTTTTTATTTTTATTCAGAGATTTTAAATTTTCATATGAATTTTATTGACATCAGAGTCAGACACGAGGATCTAAAATTTATTAAACAAATTCAGCGACCTTTTTATACATCATTCAAAGTCATTCGTATTATCAACAGATAATAATTTTGTTATTCAAATACTGTTTTGATTCTAAAGACTGAATTTTTTAGAATTTAAGTCTGTTTTTACTTAAATTTTCCTTGGTTATGTACATATTATGAGCATGAAAATGTTAGAAAAAATTTTCTTCTAGTTCTATTTTGTTGTGTTTATTAATACGTCATCTACAACAATACGTATAAATTCATCGTATAATATTTTTTTTTAATATAATCATGTTTCACAGTCTCCTACCTACCTATAAAATGTTATTTTTTTCTATTATGTTTTACATAAGCCGTTCGTAACATATAATGTATTTATAGCTTCAAATATATTTCAAACAAGAAATGCATAAAGCATACATAAATCATGATACGTGAATATACGACGATCCATTTTAATATTGTTACAGGAACTTTACTGCGTTAGAAGTGACCTGGGCAATTTGCTCAAGGCCCTTGGACGTTTGGACGAAGCGAAGGTAAATATGTTTTATGTACTTCGCTTTCTGGTTTGCTCTGAAGTTAACAGGATCCAATTACCGTTTGCTTTTTGTTTTGAATTAAATTAGAGTACTACCTGTTTCGTCAGCGTAAAATGCGATCGCGTAACGTCCGTCGTTAATTGCTGTAAGCGTATATATTGTAATGGTTTAACGATTTTGCTTGTGTTATATTTTTATTGATTTTATTTTTTCCAATGTAATAATTTTTGTAAGCGTTTTGTTTAAGCCATTATGATAGCCGTGAGCGCAAGATGGAGACCGATGTGTTTGCATTATTTATAAATAAGTCTCCATCTTGTTAACAATTCAGTCACAAAATATTATGATACTTAAAACTTTCCTACGATATTTTGTGACGAGCATCATTGCGTAAAACCTTTGAATAATTTTCCACACAGTGGTTAATATTATCGTATGTATTGTGTAACGATTGTTTTTGTAAATTATTTCGTTGTAAACGCTGTCTGATGAATAATATTTATGAAATGCTAAAACATTGTGTGGAACATTAAAGTCTTAAGAGGGAGTACTCTAAGCGTCATTTTAAATATTATTATAAATCTTACAGAACTATATCCTGTTTCCTTCATTATTAATAGTTATTTTACTCCTTGCGCTTGTAGTGATTTCTTATTGTACATTGAAGGAGGATCAAAGGAGTAGCAATTTACTTCATTAGTGGTATGACGTAGTGAGTTTATTTATTGTAATTATATAATATTATCATCTGCATTATATTTGTAATACGCTTTAAAGACAGCGTGAGCTGACAATGATCCTCTTGAGTCAGTCACACACATTTACAATATAATAAAGTGTAAGACGAGAATCGGCTGAACTAGTTTGACTCAAAATCGACTAATTCTGTTATATTTTCACAAGGTGTTGACTGGTAAGACAGTAGGTGTGAGCGGTGCTGTATTCTGGGTTATGGTTGGTACATCAACTCGCTATCCAGCCCGATGACATCGTACTATCTGCTGCAGGTAAAGTGTTATAAGGTTTGACAGACTATGAGCAGGTTTCCGACACAACGCGTGCTCTTTGACATTTCATTGTTGTTGACCATCCTCAATCGGTTAGGAAGTGAAAGCGGTTTACATTTTGGTTTTGATTAGGTTTTATTTTTGGAGAATGTTTTATTTTTTCGTTTACACTATGAAGTCGATCTTTATCGGAATGGGTCGTTTACATTTCCTACTGATGTTTGTGGCACTTGGCGTAGTGACGTGTCGTATTTTAGGGTGCATATGGCGTAATTGTATTGCAATATTTGTTTGGTATTCGGTGATTTGTATTGTTTTTAATTCTGAATCACCCAGCACCATTCAAAGCTATGGTGTAATCTAAAAGTTTGGCGTAAAATACATCTCAAACATCATCAATGTAAAACACAATACAATATTGGTATTATTAACGTTTGTTTTTCCGTGTGTGTAGGCTTGTTACTTGAAGGCCATCGAAACGAGGCCAGACTTTGCAGTGGCATGGAGTAACTTAGGATGCGTTTTTAACGCACAAAGTGAAATCTGGTTGGCCATACATCATTTTGAAAAGGCCGTGGCATTGGATCCGAATTTCTTGGATGCTTATATCAATCTAGGGAATGTTCTCAAAGAAGCGAGAATTTTTGACAGGTATTTATTATATTCCGAATTAGTTCTAGAATATTTACGAAAAATATAATAATCAATATTGTTTATTATGGTATTTATATTCCTATCAAACTTAAAAGTTCTTTGATTGTTTAAATATTATTAAATAATATATGTTATTGTTATAGGGCGGTGGCTGCATATTTACGAGCTCTTAATTTATCGCCGAACAATGCAGTTGTTCATGGTAATTTAGCGTGCGTGTATTATGAACAAGGACTTATTGATTTAGCGATCGACACTTATCGGCGCGCTATAGAACTTCAACCGAATTTCCCAGACGCGTACTGTAATTTGGCTAATGCATTAAAGGAAAAGGGTCAAGTGGTTGATGCGGAGGAATGTTATAATACTGCTTTGAGGTTGTGCCCATCACACGCTGATTCATTGAATAACTTAGCGAACATCAAACGCGAGCAAGGATACATAGAGGAAGCAACTCGTTTATATTTAAAAGCTTTGGAAGTATTTCCCGAGTTTGCGGCAGCTCATAGTAATTTGGCGTCAGTTTTGCAACAGCAAGGAAAACTAAATGAAGCACTCATGCATTATAAAGAGGCTATACGTATACAGCCAACGTTTGCTGATGCTTACAGTAACATGGGTAATACTCTTAAAGAAATGCAAGACGTCGCTGGAGCATTGCAATGTTACACTCGAGCTATACAAATTAATCCAGCGTTTGCCGATGCTCATAGCAATCTTGCCAGTATTCACAAAGATTCGGGAAATATACCCGAAGCTATACAATCGTACAGAACAGCGTTGAAGTTGAAACCTGACTTCCCTGATGCGTATTGTAACTTAGCGCACTGTTTGCAAATCGTTTGCGATTGGACCGACTACGAGGCCCGTATGAAGAAATTAGTCAGTATTGTCGCAGAACAACTTGAAAAGAATAGATTACCCTCAGTTCATCCGCATCATTCTATGCTTTACCCATTGACGCATGAATTTAGAAAGGCTATTGCGGCCCGACATGCGAATTTATGTCTGGAGAAGGTTCAAGTTCTCCACAAGCCGGCTTACAAATTTCCAAGAGAGCTGCAAAGCCGCCTGCGTATCGGTTATGTAAGCAGTGATTTTGGCAATCACCCAACATCACATTTGATGCAATCTGTGCCCGGATTACACGATCGTACTAAGGTCGAGATCTTTTGTTACGCTCTTAGTCCAGATGATGGTACAACATTCCGCTCTAAAATAGCTAGAGAAGCGGAGCACTTTATTGATCTATCACAGATTCCATGCAACGGTAAAGCCGCTGATAAAATATATTCTGACGGTATTAATATTCTTGTAAACATGAACGGATATACAAAGGGTGCCAGGAATGAAATATTTGCTCTACGTCCGGCTCCCGTGCAAGTAATGTGGCTTGGATATCCAGGTACAAGTGGTGCAAGTTACATGGACTACTTAGTAACTGACGCTGTGACATCTCCAGTGGAATTGGCAAGTCAGTACAGTGAGAAACTTGCATACATGCCTCATACATATTTCGTTGGTGACCACAAACAGATGTTCCCCCACCTACAGGAGAGATTGATAGTCAGTGACAAAATTAAATCCCACAATAATATGGGCAGCCTAGCTGATAATGTCGCTGTCATTAATGCAACTGATTTGTCACCACTTGTCGAAAACACTGATATCAAAGAAATTAAAGAAGTTGTAAGAGCAGCAAGGCCGGTTGAAATATCATTGAAGGTCGCAGAGCTACCTACTACTACGCCTATAGAAAACATGATTGCTTCGGGACAAGTACAGGTAATTTTAATATATGTATATAAAATTAAATAAAGTTGTGCAATACAAAGTCATTACTGATTGTGGTATTAATATGAAATGCACAAAATCAATTATATTTTTCAGTAACAATTTAACTACTGAATTTGTTTTCCTTACAAAATAGTCAGTTTTCTGTCCGATAACTTACGAAACTATCATTATTTATATGTACATAATTATTTCCTTTCAGACATCTGTAAATGGAGTCATCCTTCAAAACGGTTTGGCTACAACACAAACTAACAACAAAGCGGCTACAGGAGAGGAAGTGCCACAGTCTATTGTAATCACAACGAGACAACAGTACGGTCTACCGGATGACGCAGTGGTCTACTGTAATTTCAATCAACTGTATAAGATAGATCCGCTAACTCTACACATGTGGGTATACATATTGAAACACGTCCCTAACAGCGTGTTGTGGCTTTTGAGATTCCCGGCTGTCGGTGAACCTAATTTACAAGCAACGGCACAGCAGTTGGGTAAGTCGATTTGAAATATATCTATCATATTTTAAATATTAATATTAAACTATAAGAATTTTAAACATACAATTTAAAATGAAATAATTATTACTCTTCACGACATCTAAATTAATAGCCAATTAATTTTTCCAGTATGTAAATAAATAGTACTTGAAAATAACTTAAAAACTCAAATATCTATAAATGATCACATCAGAAGCTTTTATTTTGTTCTGTCACATGTACGTAACCTGTACTAATATTCGTTTAAAATAAATAAGCTAAAGAAGACAGTAATAAATGAAAAAAAAAAGATCTTCATGCTTTATACGAGAATCCTATTAGGTTATATTAATCTGAATCACCTAGTTTTCAATATAAACAATTTTAACAGGATTACCACCTGGCCGTATAATCTTCTCAAACGTGGCTGCCAAAGAGGAGCACGTGAGGCGAGGTCAGCTAGCGGACGTATGTCTAGACACACCCTTATGTAACGGTCACACTACTAGTATGGATATTTTGTGGACTGGCACCCCTGTTGTTACATTACCAGGAGAGACATTAGCCTCGCGGTAAATATTAATTACTATTAAATAACTTACTTAAATTGTTCGTATTCAGATTGGATTTTAATATTTATGCATAAAACTTATCATTTATATTTAGGGTGGCTGCATCACAACTCAATACACTTGGTTGTCCTGAACTGATTGCGAGAACGAGACAGGAATATCAAGACATAGCTGTACGATTAGGAACGGACAGGGAATAGTAAGTAGAAAGAAAATATTTACTCCAAATTGTTTTAAACGTCTAAAACCATAATAACATAAAAATAATTTTACACCAAGATAGACTTCTGTAGTTTTAAGCAAGATTCGTATCAAAAACATGTTTGAATAAGTGGAATCATGAAACATTTTCCAAACATAACAGTATTGTTAGTTTTTCTCTTTTTAATTTAGTAACGGTAAATTGAACGTTTATCATATTTCAGTCTTAAAGCAATCCGAGTGAAAGTATGGACGGCACGCACTGAGAGTCCACTATTCGACTGCAAAGCATACGCCACCGGTCTGGAGATGTTGTACAACAAAATGTGGTCGAGGTACGCTCGCAACGAGCGACCCGACCACATACAGGCCATAGACAAATAGATAGAGCGCGGGGAACACTCGGATATGACGTCAAAGAAACGACGGTGGTGCTAAGTGATGTGCTCAGTGTTGTTTGTGTGTGAATCATACACTATAGTGACGTCCCCGGTGTCCCGGCTAAATGGATTTTTCTAGTCATAGGATGTCTCGAATTTAATTATTCTGACATGTTTAATAGCAATATACTTACGATAAATAATAATTTACATGGCCTTGACTTATGTGCACAACTTGTAACATTAGCATTTGCTATGTTCTTGTAAGATTGTTTAGTAGGTATATTATCCCTACTTGAAATCTTACACAGCATGACATTAACGAAATTATTAGTGAGACTATACATTTAAATTGAATATTATACAAACATATTGCTTTGCTATAATACTTCTATACACAGCAGTAATAAAGAGTTATGTTAGTCTTAGTTTAGAAGGCTTACAGAACAGTTTCCAGCTAGAATATTAGGATATTACGACATAAACATTTATATAGTTTATGTATATGTATAAGAAGTTGTAAGTGTAAGACATAATGGAATGTAAAAGAATTGGAATTTATTAAATATAATTGTCTTATAGACAAAGCCTCAACTTTTTTGTTCAATTTAAGTTTGTTATAAAGTTTTAATGATACTACTTTATTTTAGTTTCTGAAGACAAATATTGTTCTTTATGTAGTCTCATTATAAACACTATACAATTTCATGCATGTATTTGTTTAGCACTAATGAATAGTATAGTCAAAGCTAGGAACTCCATTGTAATGATTACAACAAAATGTTATGTAATTTGATTTCATAATATAATGTGATATAATTAAGTAATAATTATATTGTATGAGAAACTACTTGTATGGGAATTGGAATAGGAAGTTACATTTCTGAAGACAATGAATTTGAAACCATTATAATGTAAGGGTTTCCTCAGCATTAGTAAGATATTAAGATCATCTGTTATCTGAAATTACTTACCTTTTTGCAAATTGTTAAGTATATTTTTAACAGTGGATATTATTTACGAATCATTTTTATTAATGTTTTGAGTCCATTTTGCCAGTGAGACTGAGTTTCTAACTAAGGTCACATTAACTTAATGAACTTGTTTCAACATGAAGAGAGAACTCATTAGATATAATAAAGAAATTGTGATCGTAGAGTAATTCCCATTATAATTTCAGCTCATGTTACTATGAATTATGTATTAATTATATTTTATTTTTTTTAAAAACGCGATATTTAAGGGGCACAACCGCAGACAATAATTTCCAATTATTTTAATGTTTGGGTATGCATCAATAATGTAATTATTTCTCTATTCAAAGCTTAGAGAATAAACCATGTAATATGTAACAAAACTCATTTGAAAAGGTTTGGATTAATTATATAAATATAATATTTAATGTGTTTTTATTATTTTATTATTATGTAATATTTATTAATATTTAGTTTTGTGTTTTAATAAATACTAGATGTATGTATGGTTTGTTAAGTTTAAATCAGTTCATTTCAGTATTTTATAAGTCAAATAGCATTATAAAACTCGTTATGATAATAATCATCTAATTATAATGTATCCAATGATAAATTAGACATACTTTACAATATCCTTAGATTTTGACACCAGTGAAATAGATGTTCATGTTGGTTGACTATTATTGTTCCTCTATCTCTGACGATTTTCATTATATTTAAAATTGTAAATATTGCCTTAAGTTTTAATTCAATAAGATAATTTTAAAATATGGTGAGAACATTGTTTTATTTAAACCCTTATAAAATATGTTTAACAAGTACTGCCAGGCATGCAGACCATACATGCAAGTAAGCAGTGTGTAACTCTACCAGCAAAATACCCAAACCTTAATTATTATATACTTAGTTACATGCATTCTTCAATAAGTATTTACAGGATTTTCTCATTTGCTTCATACTTTGGTAAAATTTATAATAATAAATCTTTCAAGCTAACATGTCCGTAAGCAATGCCTACTACTCGCAGCTTATTTACCACAAAAATACGATGCAAAAAATATTTGTGTTTGTAAAAACCTTTGTATGTGGTAGAGTTTTGAAATGAGCTGCTTCTTAAAAAGATTCGTCAAAGAATTCATCAAAGCTACGATAAATTGTAAAGCTACTATTTATTTTGGCCGGTATAGCGTTGTAATGTTTTGTCGCTATTTGTTTTATTTCTTGGAGCACTAGTGAATAAAATGTGATTACCTATGTAACTATTCAATTTATTTACTATTCATAAATTATACATAGAGCTATGTGCTGGTGATGTCTGTTAAAATATATAAGTTCATACATTTTTCCCCACCCTACCTTAGTCCTAGTGCATGCCCCTGAACACTGACTATGTATTAGCAACACAAGTCAATCAACCAAAAATGAAGTGTATTACCAATAAATTAATTCACGTTTAAAATCTGTTGTAGATGAAGCTTCTACCTCAAAAGATTTTTAGCAAGAATTTGTTTATGGTGGATAAGAAACAGAAGATTCTCATTTTGGAGCATTAACGAAGCTCTTCGGCTTATTCCATTGCTTCAAATTCTTGCCGAATAATCTTTTGTCATTGTAGTTGGGGAGAGGGAGCAAGGGGTCAATGTTTTTGATAGTGAGGGAGCAAGATTATCTGATCGTGAATATGATCGTTACAACAACAGGCGTCTGTGAGACTTCTCTTAACTAGAGCCACGCCGTTTATGAGCCATAACTGAACCAGGCTAGTCAATTGTAACCGGAGGTACGCCTCCTGTTCTGTGTTTATCTTAGGTGATATTACTGCATATTCTAGAGTACACTAGAATCTAGATCCTAGAGATCTTTATGTTGTGAGCCAGGAGTAGGCCAGGCCAGTTTGTAAATCAGATTGGTAATCAAAGATTCAGTCAGTAGTTGTTTGCCATAAAGGAATGTCAGCTTCAAGCGTCCATTACACCTAGACCACATTTGTCGCCGAATTAGGGTTATTGGTCTGACAAATTCTAAGTGGTTTCTCCTTTTGCTTTATGACTTTATGACCGCTAAGTGATGCAGAAAATATGTGACTGGTAGTGGCGCGGGTTCCTACTTATCTTTTGACAAATTGGTGTTGAAGAGGCGGGGGGACGCCATATGGCAAGTCTGTTCCCTATAAGAATGTGAGGGGGATTATTATAAAAAAAGCGATAAGATTTTGTACTGTCATTGTCTTGCTCGACTACTTTGTTCTGCTTCTAAGAAAAATCATAGGAGGTGCGCTAATGTGCCGTTGACAATAAAATAATTAAATGTTTAATTTAATAGTCGTAGCCTCGACCTGAAAGATGTTTATATCTTATATAGAAAAATTATATCGGAAGATCTGAAAAATGTTCCAAGCCAGCGCTCATAAGATTTTAATGCTTTCACTGGCTGTGCAGAATCCGAAGTGTATTGTCTTTTCTGGACGAGGACAATAAAAAATGTCCAAATAATATATTCCGTAATCTTTATTCTTTATAATCAAGAAATATCAAATTTTTTCATTTTATAATCTTCTACTAAGTTTTATATCATAAAAAGACACTTATTTGAAATATTAATAAGAAGAACCTAAAATATAAACGTTATTTAAAACAAGTTATATGAAAACCATTATCCGTCTCAATCATACACTCACTTGTATTGAAGTTTTTTTATTTGTACTAGGTTATACATTTTTCTCATACTGAGACCATCAATCAAACTATATTAATCAGATATTGATTAGCTTCATCCTTTATGTAACTGTGCTTGTGAACTGTGATCGCTTATTCTATTATTTTTTATTCTTTATTTTTAAATTTCCAATTATTACATAATTTGAAATTGACATTGTATATCAATTTTTACTCGTTACTTTATATTTCTATAAAAAATACATATATTATGCCATTTATATTTAAGTGTGAATACTGAATATAATACTTTATTTAATAATTACACTGAAATATTAAATCAACGCTTTTTCAAGGTAAAATGTTAAATACCTGGTTTTTAAATAATTTTCTCTAAATACGAAAAAGATTCAATTAAGAATAGGTCAGCAATTATTTTGCTATAAATAAAACCTCATAATGTTTTACATTTTGTCTAAGGTATTTGTTATCGATATAAAAGATGCGATTGTTTTAAGTAAAGAATATATTGTCCTACAAAGTTATTATTATTATTTTAATTTTATATTTCACACCTTAAATATACACACTGAATTATATGTATTTGAGTCTGTAATTGTAGTGTAGAGTGATGTAAGCCGAAAATATGAGGTAGTTTCATTGAAATGTTATAAGACAATTTAAATAATTTAAGAACGACTATTTAATAATAAACAACGATATTCACATTAAGAAATCTTTCTAGAAATACGAAAAATAACTATTTTTTCTACTTCAAGCCGCGTTTCGCAACGAAACACTGATATAAAAGATAATTCATTAGAGAAAAGAAAATATATTGGTTAATTGAGCAGGAGTTAACTTAAAATTATAGAGGAAGATACAAAATATGGGTGTTATACATAATCGCATTTCTTAAGATCTTCTTTGAAGAGTTTGTAATGTATGATTGATAAAACCTGTTTCATTTAACGAAACACAAAATCCTCAGACGTACACTATAGTGTTGGATAGATAATAATCGTCAAATAAAATATTACAAGGACTCTTTATAAAATCTCTATTGAACTACGTAAAAGTCTATAGATACAAATTTAGCCATTTCCAAAGACTTTATCTATATTTAAAAGAACAAATATTTATGCTTCCGTCGAAACGTTAATAGGATTAATTAAAGTAAAGTCACGTAACGGTTTCCGTTTTCTACAAAAGTCAAAAAACTACTGGGGTTAGTATGCGGCATTACAAAATATACGACGGTGCGGACCCTTCGAGGTGGCGCGCATTCATGGTATTTCACTGTACGGACTACAGAGTACAGTGTACGTCAGTCGCGGGCTCGCCGCCGCGGGGGGAACGCGTCTGTCTCCGTCGTTATGTCGTCTACGACTTGTTCTATTTACTCTCACAATCATTGTTTTAGAATCGCGTTCGCATGCTACATGCGCTCCGAACTTTAGTATGGCCGCACGCGACGCACCGAACTTACTTTCATTCATCAAAGCAAGTTGACAAGTGAAAATGAAATGGACACAGTGCAAGCGAAAATGATAATTAGCGTGATATTCTTTTGTTTAGTGACGGGTGCGGTGCATACGGAAGCGCCTGTAGATGCCTGTTTCCGTGTGCCCGTAAAGAACAGTGTGGAGTGCAATGTACGAACTCTGTCGGCGGACCGGGATGTTGTTGGTTCGATGCACTCGGACGGCGCGAAGAGGCTTGCGATCCGCTGCGGCTCTGATCACCTCGAGAGCACGCTTAAAGATCACTACTTTGTAAAAATGCAAGGTTTGATGGAAATAGTTTTGACCGATTGCAAAATACTTCGCCTGCCAGGTAACGTCTTTGAAGGTCTACGTGGATTGAAAACTCTGGAGCTACGTACCATGAACAACCATTGGGGCCACAATAAAGAATTAGAATTATCTCTTGGTGCCTTTAATGGTTTGCGAGAACTTCACACTTTGGACCTGGGGTATAACAATATAAGAAAAATACCAGCTGACCTCTTTTGTGCGTTGGAAAATATTATTTCGCTTAATTTAACGCGAAACAAAATAAAGTTTGTCGATGAATTGGGATTCGGACACAAATGTGGTTCAATACTTCAAACTATCGATTTAAGCTACAATGACATCATGTCTTTGCCAGCTGACTCTGAAATATTACATCTGCGGAGGCTAAATCAGTTATTCTTACAAAACAATAAAATAAGTGAACTGCCGGCCGAAGTTTTTAGCGACCTGCTTTCGTTAAAAGTTGTAAATCTATCGGAAAATGCTATAAATTACCTACCGGAAGGTTTATTTCAGAATACAAAGGAAATTCGTGAAATTTATCTTAACTATAATGATTTGGAAATATTACCGAAGAAATTATTTAATAGACTGGAACAATTAGTTGTGTTAGATCTTTCAGCGAATAAATTAAAGGGCGACCATATAGAAGATGAAACGTTTGGAGGTTTAATAAGATTAATTGTGCTTGACTTGTCCCACAATGCCCTAAGTGGCGTTACTAGAAACATGTTTAAAGATTTATTTTTTTTACAGATTCTTAACTTAAGCAATAATTCGATAAGTTTTATTGAAGATAACGCATTTTCACCATTATTTAATCTGCATACCTTAAATTTAGGACTCAATAAGCTTCATTCTATCGGAGATCACGTTTTTAATGGCCTTTTTATTTTAAATAAATTAAATTTAAACAATAATATGTTATCATCCATTGCCGTTGACGGGTTTAAAAACTGCTCGGATCTTAAAGAATTAGATCTTAGCTCTAACAAATTGTCGAAAGTTCCAGAAGCCATATTACAATTATCGTTTCTGAAGTCATTGGATCTCGGAGAGAATATATTGATAGAGATATCAAACAACTCGTTTCAAAACTTATCTCAGTTGACTGGTTTGCGTTTAATCGACAATCAAATTGGAAACCTTACTGCGGGAATGTTTTGGGGCTTGCCTAGCCTCCAAGTCCTCAATTTGGCAAAAAATAAAATACAATCTATTGAGACCGAAACCTTTCAAAAGAACCTGCAATTGGAAGCCGTTCGATTGGACGGCAACTTTATTTCTGATATAAACGGGGTATTTGTGTCACTAACAAAGTTGTTATGGCTTAATCTATCTGAGAATCATTTAGTATGGTTTGATTATGCTTTCATTCCATCTAGTCTAAAATGGTTGGATATACATGCTAATTTTATAGAAGTGTTAGGTAATTATTATAAAATTCAAAAAGATTTGCATGTTAAGACGTTAGATGCGAGTCATAATCGTATAGTCACACTGTCTGCTTTATCCATACCAAATAGTGTCGAGTTACTCTTTATCAATAATAATTTCATTTCTAGCGTGGCACTCGATACATTCTTAGAGAAGAGCAATTTGACACGGGTTGATATGTATGCCAATGAAATTGAAAGTTTAGATATGAATAGCTTACGTATCTCTAGAGTTGATGATAAAGCTTTACCCGAATTCTATATCAGTGGAAACCCATTTAAATGTGACTGCACGATGAAATGGTTGTTACTTATAAATTCTCTAACATCAAATCAATACCCGCGCGTAATGGATTTAGATAATGTTATATGTAAGGAATCATATGTTAGAGGTGTTAAATTTCATTCTGTTAGTTCATTTCATACAAAAGATTTTCTTTGTAAATATGACAGTTATTGTCCAGAAGATTGTCATTGTTGCGATTTTACATTTTGCAATTGCAAAACGGTATGTCCAAATAACTGTTCATGTTATCACGATTCAACAAAGACCACAAATGTTGTCGATTGTTCTGTAAAACAATTGAATATGGTGCCGCGGGAATTCCCGACGAACGCAACGCATATTTATTTGGATGGAAATCATTATAATGAACTTAATGAAACCGTTTTCGAGTACATGCGTAAATCAATAGTTCTATATTTAAATTCTAGTAATATTAATACAATACAAAACAATACATTTCGTGAACTGATTGACTTAAAAATACTTCATTTGGAAAATAATAAAATAAAACGTCTGCAGGGGCTCGAATTTGCTAGGTTGAATAACTTAAAAGAATTATATCTTCAGAATAATTTAATCGAGTTCATATCAAACTCAAGTTTTTCTATGCTCAGTGCCCTTGAAGTGTTACGATTGGATGGTAATAAATTAATCAACTATGGCTTGTGGCATTTAGATAACAATAAAAAATTACAATCCTTATTTTTGGGAAATAATTACTGGTCTTGTCACTGTAAATATTTACAGGGATTTCTGATTTACATTTCACAGAACGTTGAAAAAGTAATAGACCTCCATAATCTGTGGTGCTTGAATGATAATGTAAGCCCAGCAAAGAAGCCATTGAATTTAAATGTGACAGTGTGCAGCGAAATAAGTGATAGCTCAATGATAAGCGCCTTCTTCGTTTCCCACAACATACCATTACTAGCGTCGGCTCTCACTGGCTTCATGCTGATTTTATTAATATTAGCTTTAGTATTCACATTTAGATACGCTTGCAGAATGTGGTTGTATTCTAATTGCGGTATTAAGCTTTCGCCCTTAGCGGGCGCCTTTAACGACGCTGATAAGCTTTATGACGCTTACATTTGTTATAGTCCCAAGGATGAGGAATTTGTCGTGGAGTCTTTAGCGCGGGAGCTGGAAAACGGTTATCCCTCATACCATTTATGTCTACATTACAGAGACGTACCGCAATTTGAAGCAACATATGCTCAGTTTCCCGATTTGGTAGTCGAAGCGACAGAGGCGTCGAGACGTATTATAGTGGTATTATCTAAAAACTTTATATTAACTGAATGGTCACAAATAGAATTTAGGCAAGCGTTACAGAGAGCTCTTCGTAAAAATCCTCATAAGTTAATTGTAGTCGTCGTAGGGCTACTAGCTCGAGATCCGGAATTAAAATCATATTTCAAAAGTGGTTTGGAGATAACATGGAAAGAGAAAAGATTTTGGGAACGATTACGATATGCGATGCCGTCATGTAAGCGACGCGGGCACAAATTGAAGAGGCTTAATTATGGAAGAAATTCCAACACGTACACAATGGACGCGTCGGTGCTAAATAGTACCTGTCAAACGCTGTGCGGCAAATCCGCAAATTCAGTAGAACGTTCTCCTTGTGACAGGCCGTTGTCCGAGCACATATATTCCACTATAGATTCGGATTATTCGTCAAACGATTTCCAAGGCCGCCATAATCACCAACAATCAGTGGTCTTGCATCACACAGTTCAAACGTACCTGGTCTAACATTTTGGAATAGTTTATGTCGAAAACGATCTCATTTGTAAAGAGGTATTTTTAATTTTGCTTTTTCGAAACGGATTCCTATTGTTCACAACTTGTAAATAGATTACGTGTTTGTATAGTGTAACTTTTGTACAATAATGATACCAAATTTTGCAATTCATTGCGATTGCTTGTATGTATTTATTGCATTTTGTTAATTTGTAAGTATTAATACGAAAGACTGTAAATTATTATTGTGTAGTTTTAATCTTATGGCTGATGTTTGTATAGTCATGTAATAAAAGAAGTTTATGACTGATTTTCTTTATTATTTATAAAAGACCCTAAGAAGAAAAATATAATTAAGTAATATTTATAATTAATTAAATGCTGATATTTTGTGGAAAATGCTATTAAATTTTATGAAGGCATGTATATAAATGTAATTCTCAGTATTTTTAAATCAAGTCTTGTTTACGCCAAAGCTTTAAAGAAATACTCAATTATTTTAATAACTTATAAGTATTGAACAACGCGTAATTTCATACGACTTGTTCTCGAGATTATTGCATTTATAATATTTTTAGAAATATTAAGTATTCATAGAGACTTTCTCTATTCATAGAGACTACAATAATAATTATCAATTGATCGATGCCATGTTATATTTTGCAAATATGTTTCGTTTTAATTTTTCTATGGTGCGCGCGTTAAAGTAAATACTTAAATTTCAAGACAATATTCAACTTGTTAAGCTCATTGATACACAAAGCCAATAAAAAGTTTAAAGTAGATTACAAAACTTGATTGGCTCCCATTCGAATAACAGTATTATAAAGTTAAAATTTTAGGCGTGAAAAGCTACCCCCCTTGTGGATGTCTATTAAATTTATTGGTTGTAAAACGACAAGCTAATTTAGAGTTACATTTTATTGTGTTAGCTTAACTACCTTACGTTGTGAGTGGCGCCCCGGGAGCTTGCGATTTGGAGACGTAAGGGTGCTTACGCATCGTTGTAATAATATAAAAAAAAATAAAGAATGTGTTGATTTTTAAAAGAAATTATATGAAATAGTTTAAAGAAATTATTATTATGTTACAAATTGTAAGTCCTTTCAAGTATATGATTTACAATCATATTTTTTATATTACAAATTATAGTGAGTATCAATTGAAGTATTTTTTTTACAAACCTTTTATGTATAAGTAATACAAAGGACATATAAAGTATTATTTGAAATAACCTTTACCTTTACATACTTTTTGGTTTTACCGAAATGGAAACAACCTCCTGTACATTTGCAGAGCTAACAAATGGATTGAAGTGTAACAAAAATGCACCTTATTGCGTATGAGTAAGGGTTATTTATTTACACAAACAATGGAAATTGATATTAACATCGAGGGATGTAAACTTTATTAGTCATACTCATATAATAAAGCGGGGTGTGTATTTTTATAGCCGTTTATGTGTTTATCTTAACATTTCTTTGCTGTGTTTTCTTTTTCTCATATTTTTAGACGCCACTAAAATAATATATTCCATATACTTTTATGGCAAACGATTGAGGTTATTTCACCAGCTGAATGCTTCTTCTGATTTGTTTTTCATCTTCTCCAAAATGTACGAAAATGATTTCATTTAATAATGTAGATGACAAGCGGTGACGACACAAATAGAATTTTGCTTTGAAGATTCCTAAAACAAGTAAAACACGTACGTACGTTATAAATTAATTTACCTTCAGACAAAAACTTTTATAACACCTCAACGACTTTACCTTAAGCTTAATTAAAAATATTCGAAAATCTATTTATAACACTTATTTGTTTTCTTAAACAAATACCTTAGCATTTATTAATATGAGTTTTTGTGTGGTGTAAGTACCAATAGTTAAAAAAAGCAATAATAATAGCCATCCAATAAATTTTTTGCAATGGAAATATCCATTGAATTAAGTATCGCATCATATTTTGATTGGGTTTGAATAATTTTATTTTAGGACGTATTATTTTTTTAAAGTTCAAACAAAACTTGCAATACATGATTGTGTAATATAAAAACTTGAAGTCCGTTATGAAATATATTTTTTACTGGTTTTTTATGGCGATAATAATATTTTGAATGTAATTTAGTGACGTTGTACGAATGAATAGACGTTTGTTACTGTCTGCTAAAATGTGGTTATGTCTTTCACATCTCTACATTCGCAATTCGCTTGTGCTTAAACTTTACTTGCACAAGTTTACTTCTATTAGATTTATAAGACAAAAAGTAGTATATTAAAGTAAAGTGAAATAGATTTCATATAATAAACATATTGCAAAACACCTTTTCTTTAACTGAAAGTACTAGTGTTTAAAAAAACGTCATTCCGAAAAGCAGATTTGTCACAACGATATGCCAAGTAAATACGTGGGTATTGAGAGTTAAACATATGTATTTGTAACAGACTACTGTAATCAAAAACTCAATATGTAAATATTAACATTACACTTTGATAAATGAGACTCGTTGCAATTCTCTTTAATCTTTTATATCGTAAACTCAATGTCAGTGTGCATAAAACAAAATAATAAATATTAATGTTTTAGACTGTGCTTGATAATTTTTTTAACTAGGTTTTAGGTTTTGAAACAGCCGCCCTAAGGGAAGGTTCACTGAGCAGAGGTAATTTTTCAAAGGCATCCCCTTGAGACTCACATAATCAATAAAGTCAGTTTAGACCTACGATTACATAGCTCTGCTTGAAGTTTTACGCTAGGGGTTAGAATTTTTTATGATTTTTCTCTTTTCTTTAATGTACAAATGTTTGATGTTAACCCGACGTCATTGCGATAGTTGTTTTTTCATTTCGGCTTTTGAGGTAAAAGATTGTAGCTTTCACTTTAATTCTGCAATAAGGTTAAAGTTCACGTTGTAAAAAAAACATTCATCACGTTCATCCCGATTTTATTTTAAGCGCTAAATTTTTTTTAGCCATATAATGTTTTGGACATAAGTGATTGAAGTCAAGGTAAACGTTTAAGTACGTACATAAAAGGACTAAATAAATGTATCAATAATAATAAAGTGTATTGAACTATTGCCAATGAATAAAAAGGTAATACTTGTGAGAGATATAGAGAGTTTAACTCAAATTCTATTAAACTTACGCAAGCCAACTCCAGGTAAGGCTCTTTGCACGAATAAAAAACCTAATTTGCTTTATAATTAGCTATATAGATTTATTAAATGGTCATAAAAATCTAATATCACACACACACACACATCTAATCTGCACTGATGTTGTCTATGATTTTATGTTACTTGGCAACATTTAAATTTTATAAAATTTTAAACTGTTCCTAAATAAAAAAAATGAATTCTATTACTTTTTTTGTATTTATAGACAAGTGTTAATTCAAGTGGCGTTGGAACGTGTATTTTAATTCTGAGAACATAAATTCGCTGTAAGTTTACGATAAGCTGAATATATGACTCCGATCATTGGCGCGTGTCAGAGACGTGCATTGTTTTATTACTAGAATGAACATTCAATTCACAATTCACGCCCGGTACGGTTGACCACTTTTAATAAAATCTTAAAACCGCACTTATTTTTACAGTAACAAGATCTATATTTACAATTTTCACGTCCGAACGTCCAGAAATATAGGGCAATGTTCTTATTCTTACGTCATTTCTTTGTAAAAGGTATGTAACAAACTCGTGTATTTGAATGAAATGTTATTCTCAGTTTTAAATTTTATTCGTCAGTATTTTATGTTTTTAACACCGTTTCATTTGTTACAGAAGATAAAACATTTTTTTTTCTATTTTATTATGCTTTTATCATAACTTAAGTATGTCTTTTTATAAGAATGTGATGTACTCGTACACTATAATACATTACAATAGGAAATTTTAGACGATAGTTCTGGGTGAGTTTTAAATCTTTCCAAGTCGATACGTATTCGAATTTACTATCTTCAAAGAGGTTAAATTTGTAGCAAGTTTAAAGTTCAAATACTGGAGTTCGTTGGAACAAAAAGTTTAGGAATAACTTAGTTAGAATTCCTAAAAACAAATGTGAATCAACCATTTAACGTTAGATTTCTAAGAATAGTATTTTGATATACCTAATAATATAATTTAAGCCTTAGTTCTATTTTTAATGTTTAATATTAATATAGGTAGTTTAATTAGTGAAAAATTCGTTTCTGAGGAAGTGTAAGTACATATTTGTAAGGTCAATGAACTTACAAATAAACTGGACACCATAGTTCGTAATAGTAGTATTAAAATTCGCGAATAACAATAGACAGACGGCCGTTATGCGTCTATTGCACCCACTGGTATATCAATGGTGCGATAAAAAAAATTCTACTGGATTAAAAAACCTGCTTCAAAAATTTACAGGGATTGAAAAATAAAGTAAATTAGTATAAAAAGTCTATTTAATCTAATAAAATTACCTATTTTGAGATGTCACATTTAAATTAAACAATATTTATTTTAAGAATTAATTAGCACCTTACCAAAATCTCTTTCGCTATATTTGGAATGTAACATATTTTTTTTTATACATTTCCCATTCATCAGCTTATCGTAACATAACGAGACAAACACCGGTTGCCAGTTGTCATATTTGAATTATAATCATTGTACGTATCATGTGATGTGAATTTATAACTTTGGTTTAGGTGTGTGGGCGGCGCTGTCGAAAGTTGTCATACAAAATTTCGCTATTGGTTTTAGACGTGTTGAATATGAAATACGAATATCGCAATATGGAATTAAACAGTCATTAATATTAATTTTGTATATTTTGTGTTTTTAATATTAAATTGTATTGGTTTTGCTATGTAAATCTGAATAATATTAGATATTATATTCTCTTGTATAAAAATGAAATTATTGCTTGCAATATTTATTTAATAAATTTAGAGTGAACTTTGCATTTAAATGTAGAGTATTATAATGGTATAAAAATTAATTTAGATAACGTTACCATTATACACAAAATCCATTGGAATAT